AAAAGTGGTTCACGACCAGACCCAAGCGACATTTGATGTTTGCGGTTGCAGAAGTCTAATCTGTGCTTAAAATCGTTTGAGTTTGATTAAAACTTTTAAAATATTAAAATATTTTACAGGTTTATAACCTATTAAGAAGTGAATGTACAAAGCTAAACACAACAAGCTAAAGAACAGCTAGACAAGATCTATGTTAAAGCATGAATTGCAAATTGTTGCCGCACCATCGGTGTGAGCAATATTCATTTTGAGTGTCGTCTGTAATATTCCAAATGTAATCAACATGAATGTTGCATGGTAGTAATATTAAGCCAGTTGGAAAGAGTCTGCTCTCAGTGGAGACCAAGTGCTTTGACCAAACTGCTAAAGGTCGCAGAGCGATGAAAGCACAGAGAGGAATAAAGAAAGAAGCCAAATATCACAGCTGATATGATCATCTCTATACTTCAAATTATTATTCTGCAGACTTTCAGACCTTTGAAGCCTGGGGTCCAATGGCGATGACTGCAGATTCAGGCGCCTTCTATCACATGATTCATATAAAAAGTTTGGTTCCTGTCGAACAGGATGGTATTGAAACATCGACTAAAGTCCCTGAATTTACTGGATGAGTTTTAAGATCGTTCTGCAAACAGAGAGAGCACTGCTATGTGGGCAACTGTCTGTTCTTTATGACTATTTTTGGGATTGTTCATTTGCTTTGCATTTTATGATTGCTAAACTGTTGCAAGTCAGAATTATAGAGATTAACATTTTGGCGATTTGCTCTGGCCAAGAAATGTGGAGTTAAGTATGGAAAATATTAGCATTTACATTTGATGAAAAGAAAAAAAATAGTATCTCCACAATTGAGAGATCTGATTCCAGTGGGGTGATGTGCATTGTTCTGGAGGCGGTGTGTGAAATAGAAACCGGAGTCCAATCTGTATACGGTAATATTTACCATATGGTTGCCATGTTTTTTATTCTATTATTTTGTAGGAAGAGAAAAACTAAGCCTTCTTCCTGTTAGGCTATTTTAGCTCCAAATAGCAGAGGTTATTACTGACTTTATTGAAAGGAAAGCACTCTATCATGTTTTCCCTTATTCTGTTTTTTATTCATTTTTTAGTTAAAACACTTTTAACATCCCTAAAGGTTTTTGAAGTGTAGCCTCTAGGCCACCAGAGAACAAAGTCGCAACCAAACATTGGCCTATTTATAAAGGGTTGAGCTGGCTTCAGGGTGTGACGTGGTGATCAGTTTTCCAGCTCATGGGTGCTCATGTGGAGCAGTGCATCACACACAGTTTCTGTGCAGTACCACACATTTAGACAGGTTGAGCTGAATTGTATAAAGATGAAAAAGGAAAGCACTGCTCTTTGGCCAGGGCTGGTTCATTCAGGAGTAGCTGTGGTGTTTATCCACGTTAGGATGAGAAGCCTGATGCATGTTTTTCATATTCTCTTTTCATCTTGGAGGTAAAGTTAGCACCACCTCTTGGTTTAATCTACATGATAAAAATAAAAAAATCTGTAAGATTGGAAAAATATTAGCAGTAGGGATGGGCGATATGGACTAAAAAATTTAATCACGATAATTTCTAGGTTTTACCATGATAACAATAAGTGACGATAAAAAACAAAACAAAAACACAATATCAGCCTAATGTATTAAACCAATCAAACAAGCCTGAAATATGAGAACAAATTTCACATTTATTTAAATGCTACACAGCACATATAACTTGGCTTATAAAAGTTGCAAAGTAGTGCAACTGTAAATACAACCTGATAAATTGAGAAACAGAACTTAAAAGTATTTCACTGAAAATTAAAACTAATCAGTAATCACCTCCTAATATAAATAGATGTGTAATTTACCAGTTGCTGGAACATGCAATATATTGGATAAATAAATACCAGTGCAAGTTCTAACATACATTACACTCACTTCACTAAAAATAAAATTCAAATGTTATATCAACCTGTAACAACCTTTTTTGCTGTTGGGCTACAAAAATGTGCAAATGGCATCATAAATAAAGGGAAAAACAACAGAACAATCTAAATACTAAAATAGAAATAAATAATTTCAATAAATTCCAACAAACGTGTAAAACCTGAAATACTTCTTTGTGCAAGAATGTACAAATAAGACTAGCAGGATCGTCAGCATGCTAAACAATGAAATAAAAATAATTTCAATAAATTTAAAAAGAATATAAAAACTGAAATACCTGTCAATCTGTGATTGAAGCGGAAACATATCTTTAGCCAGGCAAAACGCAACGCCCTCTGTTAACTCTTTCCATCGCTTGCTTTGGCTGTCATATGGTGTGGAATGAGCAAACGCCTCGGCAAGTCTTGTTTGAGTGGCAGTCGGTTTTTTAACAGAGGTTTTCGAAGTCGAGGCTTCTGCTGCATCGCAGCACATCTTCTGACTAGCATCGTATTCCGGTTTGTGTTTTAGGTGGTGAAATAAATTGGTAGTGTTGCATTCCTTTGTTGTCACAGGTTGTCTGCAAACTTTGCATATTACGACTTTCTGCTCTGTATCAGACTTTTTAAATCCAAACCAGTTCCAGATAACGGAGTTGGAGCCTCTTTTAGGAACCAGGTCTTGGGGCACGTCTTCTCCACCTTCCGCCATGTTTGTTGTTTGCGCATGGCTCGCGCGTGAGTTGGACTGCAGTGTGTCACGCGCAGTATACGTCACCGGTGGGAGTTTATCATTTTCGCGAGATGACAAATTGTTACCATGAGGAATTTTTGAAACGTCATGCTTTTCTTGCCAGTACTTCCAGCACTTTGGGCAGAAGGAACTGGCCCTTTTACAGTCTGAGGGTGAGGCTTTAGTCAGGCTGGATGCATTGAATGAACTAATAACATTTAGAACAACAATATCAGCAGTTATTGCTTTTCCCACCATCTGTTGTTGATTAACTGTACATACTTGCAGAGGTGGATAGTATCTGGTTACATTTACCTAGTTAAAGTTACTTGAGTAAGTTTTTGACAAAAATACACTTTTAGTATTGGATTTACTGGACTGTCCCTTTTTAAATTTCACTTGAGTAATATCTTAACTATCACTACTGTTATTTTAGTAAATTGTTTGGCTACTCCATCCACCGTGTTTATTAACTTTAATGAATAAAAAAACTTGCTCTAGACAAAGACACAGATTCAATGTTTACCTCGAAAATTGGCGCTATTTCTTTTTGCTATTATACAGTAAGGAGAAATTGTTGTTTTATAAATTCTATGTTAAAAAGAAAATTTTTTGAAAAGTGTTTCTTCTGGATGGTTTTTGTTTTTCAATTACATAATTTTTTACTTTAATAGTCTTGGAAATATTAGAATTGACACCAAATTTTAAAGTTTGGCCTGTGTGTAATGCATAACTTTAAACATCAGATGTTATAAGTTAATTAGTAACGGAGTAGCTTTTTTTCCAAATGCTATTTACACAAATTATTTATATATATATATTTAAAATTTATTTATTCTGTCTCCTAGAATAATAAATTCTTACTTTAAATAAACACAAATCAAAAGAACATTTGCCAAATAAATAAAAAAAATCACCATCAGAGCCAGCGGTACTTCACATACGGCTATGCTGAGAGAGGGCTGCTGCAGATGGGCTAAGATTAGACCATGCTGCCGTTAGCCTCGGAGGTCTGCTGGTTGCTGTGGTCCTCTCAGCTTTGGAAATTCTTTTAAATCGGGCACTAAATCGCTAAATGGGCCGTATAGTGACGCTTAAAAGTAAAATGTTCTTGCCTCAAATGATCTTGAAACTTACTTTTATTGGAAAAAAAAAAAAAAGCAACAGAAAAGAGAACTTTGACACTCTGAGCTCTGTGAGCGCTAACCTGGAAACTGCTGCTGCAGTGCATGCTGGGACAGCTGTCAATCTCAAGAACGAACCAGTCTGCTCTGATGCATGCTGGGTACTGGGGGGGTGTGTGTGTTAGAACAACATCCGGGGACTTTGTCCGTTCTTGGTCTGCTGTTCTTGTAAATGGGAACACTAGGACTGAGGCTGATGATTCATGAGAACACACAAGTACACATATTGAGAAACGGCCAAAGTCTCATTGACATTCTTTTTAGTTTTCAGTGTCTGCTTTTTTTAAACAGTGTGTTGCAGTTTTTAGAAGACAGAAGTGGCTCAAGAAGCTTTCAGTTTGTCTCATTCTGTTCAGAAATTAGGTCTTCCTTTAACACAGAGAAGGAAAAAGACTTTTTTTTTCTTCTTTATTTCAGGTTATTAGGGGACAACCTCTGTGTCGATACTGATCTCAGATCTCACAACTGCTAACAGCTCTCTTAATAACCGAAGTCAGTGATGCTGACAGGAAATGAGTGCGGTTATCAGGAAACAAAGGCAAAGAAAGCTGCCTTGCTATTCATGTGGGAGGGAGCTTTTAAAGTGTTTGGAACTAGAATGGGAGTCGGACCATTTAGCCCTGAAGACAGGAGAGCTGCTGTTAGCTTGTAGTTACTTCTTCAGTATGCAGGAACTTTATGGTTCAGGCTTTAACTGAAAGATGTTTGCTTTATTTCTTCTCTATATGTTTGGAAAATGTTCCCATTGATTGGCTCTTTTCTTCCCGCTGCAGAATGTGGAAAGAATCTCTACCAAATGATGATGTCACATGTCCCACCATTATCCTCCATGTGGAAGGTGCTGATGGGACATGTGACGTCGATCTTAATGCAAACTCTTTCACTTTCAAGCGTTAACAAAGCTTAAAGCTCATTGGTTTGTTTCCTAATGGTTTAGTAATAATGAGACCTGACTGGATTTTATCTCCTTTTATTATTTCAGTCTTGATGATTTCCGTCTGAATGTGGGCCGTCTGCTTTGGTTTTCAGTTTTTGCATAATATGCCCAGTCAGAAGCTTCCTGGGTTTTATGGGTAGAGCTCTGAAGTACACATGAACCACATGATATTTTCTTTTGACATGAATCTGATTCTTTGTCTGATAGAAGTTGTCTCTTTTCTCTAGGCTCCGTGAAGTCTCGGAGAAACTCAACAAATACAGCTACAACAGGTGAGTTGTGTGACTGTAGTATTTTAGGGATGTGCCGATACTGGTATCGGGCCCCATACCGGTGTCAAGTTCTCATACTTATGCTTGTAAAATCTACCCGATAGTCTGAACCGATACCGTTTCTATATTTAACTAGGGATGCACGATATTGGGATTTTGGCCGATATGCCGATATTTTAAAACTCATGTAGCCAATAACCGATATCGATACTGATGTTAAAGCTGGACAAAAATAAGTAGTCATTCAAAATAGCAGTTTTGTTATCCATTTCTGACACTTATAATATACTCAAATATATTTTCATATGCTGATATCAAACTGATTTTTTAAAATGCGGTATCAATCTATTTTACTTTCAAAATCTCGTGAAATTTCATCGTTCTGTTACAAACTCTCGTGATATTTTGCAAATTCTTGTGAGATTTTGTTAGTAAAATAGATCGATACCGCGTCAATATATCAACATATAAAAATATGGCAAAATTTTGTGAATTTTCGGGGGATTTCGTAGCATAAAGATGACATATAGCAATATTTAATTAGTAAAAGAGATTGATATGGTGTTTTTAAATGGCAATATATCAGCATATGAAGATATTGTGATATTTTAATGTATCAATATTTTTTCCCTCGTCTTTAGAAGTTTTTAAGTCTAATAAAGGAGTTTTTGAGGAAGAAGAAGAAGTAGTATTTTATTTATTTTTTTAGACTTTAGAAACTCAGAAGCTGATCAAATATCGGGTTAAATATTGGTGGGGTGGCCGATGTCCGATATTCAGTTTTAAGGCCGATACCGATAGGGGGCCGATTATATCGTGCATCCCTATATTTAACAAAGATTGGAGTCAAAACAATTAATTGTACTGTAGCTGAAGCTGTCAAGAGGCCTTTGCCTGTTGGGAAAAAAGCTCATTCTACTGCAAATAATCTGTAGTGGGTCAGATATAAAAGTCTGACTTTGTCAGCTTAGCATTTCAGACGATAAGATCAAAACTTTAAATATGACGAAGCTTTTATTTAGCACTTGTATCGGTACAATGTATTGGCAAGTACTAAAATGTCAGAACTCATACTCTATTAGAATATGTCTGATATCAGGACATCCCAATAGCATTTTCTGACTTTGGAATCCTGTCAATGCTTTATTCCTCCAATGATGTTTATTCTTCTTTTTGTTAATTGTAGTCATCCGCATCTTAGTCTGCTGGAGCAGGCCACCTTAAAGCAGTGCGTTGTTGGTCCTAACCATGCTGGATTTCTCCTTGAGGTAAGACAACAAGACTCTGTTAGCATTAGTCAGATATTTGGATTTGATCTAAATTGAACATCAAACTTTTAGTGAATTCCTGTAGAAACCAGGCTGACTTACATCTTTAAAGGTGCAGAGTCTCATTATTTGACAGTTTTTAAATGTATACGTCAGTAACACCCTCTGGTTGCATACAAGGTTTTTCTGAAAGATTAGCGCGTCCTGCTCTTGTGTTTTTGTGTTTTACGATGCTACTTTTCCCCCTGGTTTTGATTAGTTTGTTAGTAAATAAAGTCCTTTCTGTATATTTACAATAACAATGCAGATAAAACACTGTACATGTGCGCAGAGGGTAAACGGGTAAGTAGCCTACTGTGGCTAAGCCAGTTAGCATCTTCCAGTGTGAAAACGATGAAGAAAAGTCCAATGTAAGGAAATAAAACAAAACACATAACATTTGATCCCATGAGAGAGAATACTAGAGCAGCTCTGGGAATCCAGTAAAAACATTGGTGTTCAATGAAGTGAAGCAGAGGTGTTCACACAAGTTAACCTCATGAATGTTTGATTAAATGTCCTTATTAACACTGATGCTAGTGATGGCAATGCTATTTTTAGTCTCTACTATCATGAGTAGAAAGTATATTATAAATACCAGAATTTTATTGGTACTTTTTTGCTGTCTCTATTTGCATTTGCTTGGAAGAATAATCTCTTTGTGATCTGAGTATGATTGTTTAGAACTCCAAGCTTCTGAAGATCGGCTTATTTTATCTGTTGGTCTACGGCTACCCTGAGTGTCTGTTTACCACAAGGCATTGCAGGACTGTTTGGCTCTTTATAGTCATTCATAGTTTGTAAAAGCCGCACTGTTCGGGTGCCACATTCATTTGTCTGCTTATTGCACCCGGTGCTGAAATTCAATTTTGAATAAAAAAGGGCTAAATGCTATTAGGACAGAGACTTGGTGTATATACTGTATATATAAAACCCTATTTACTACGGATCAAGTGATTTATTATTTAATTCTTTTTTGGCATATAATGTGATTATGCATCTTAAGTGTCTAAAATCTCTGTGCTACTGCTAGCTGGCACAAGCCCTAAAATCGACTGATCAATGTCTGAATTTAGGTTACACATGAAACGATAATATTGTCTGTAAAAGGCTGTATGATTTGTTGGAACCAAACTGGTCAGTAGTGAGAGAGAATAGAAGAAAACACTATTTGAATGCAATGTGTATATTGTGGCTACAGTTTACACCTCCTTTTAAAACCAATAGAAGTTAATTGAAGTTTGTTCCACTGAGTGGTGACTTCGCCTCTTTCAGGACGGACGAGTGTGCAGAATCAGCTTCGCTGTTCAGCCCGATCGCCTGGAGCTCAGCAAACCGGATGGCAGCGATGGGTGAGAGACTTTTTGTTGGATTTTATCCCAGGGGCTTTTATTTTTAACACTTTGGCACTAAAAATACATTTTTTATCCCTTTTTCTTAATTTTTTTTAAATTTAAAAATGGTTTTATATGCCAAGAGTGACATCTAAGGATTTCTGTGCTTGGCTTGACAACATCCTGCATACAGGAGACTCTGATAGCTGTTGGCATCAATGTTAACAGCATTGAGCCTTTCTAAACAAGGCTGTTTTATTCTCTGAAAACATGTTAGGTTTTTTAGCCATGCAAGTTTGATCTTACTTTGAGTCTTTTTTTCTTCGTTTTAGACTTTTAAATTCCTCTTTACTGGCTGTTTTTCTGGGTTGGCTTTCAGTATGTATTACATTAAATTTCCTGCCAAAGGAACATTTACTGCTTGTGTTGAACAAGTTTGCTCTTTATCACAGCTTTTTATGCTGCACTTTTGTGGAAAAGGGGGAAGAAACAATATGGTCAGGTTTCTATGACGGGTTGTTCAGCCGTAGGAAGCCTGCTTGCTTCTGTTCTTTTATCATATTAGGGGAGTGGCGGCCTAGTGGTTAGGGCATTGGGCTTTGAATCCTGAGGTTGTGAGTTCGATCCCCCACTCCCACAGACTGCCACTCTGGGTCCCTGAGCAAGACCCTTAACCCCACACTGCTCCCCGGGCGCCACACAATGGCAGCCTACTGCTCCCCTAGGGGATGGGTTAAACGTAGAGAGTTCATTTCATTGCTGTGTACTTCTAACAGTTTAATGACAATAAAATTGAATTAAATTAAATTATTATGGAGTCTTACATTCCAGTCCTAAAGCTCTTTCTCTGTATAATCTGAACTGTTTCTGTGCACATATCCTGTAAATGTGTAGGTTCCCGTGTTTTTCTTATTGATAGATTTTTTTAATTAACAATTTAGTGAAGGAGTGAATTTTATTCCATTCTTGCTGCAAGCAAAGAACGCATTTTGTTAAATAAAAAATAATAAAAACTGGAAATGAAAATGTTTTAACCCACTTCTCTGTTCTCTTTGATTCAGATTTTGTTTTAACTTTCTTTACATTTGTATTTTTGTTTTTTCCAAATTGGTTTTCCTTTGTCAAATGTAATTGTTTTTACACGGATTTTCACAGCTCATATTGTCTTCACTTAAAGCACAATAAAAAACGCTCACTGTTGACTCAAAAAATGTTGTTACCAAGGCCCCTGCGGACCAGTAGAGATGCTGCCAGGAATTAAGATAATTTGATCTGTAAAATGCTATTTGAAATGGAAGGAAAAAAAAAAACCCTTAAAATTAGAGAAAACATTTGAATAGAAAATTAATAATAAAATAAACTGAAAAGAAAATTTACAAATGTAAAAAAAAAAAAGATAAAAAGGTAAAATGTTTTTTTTAATTGCATTTCTATCAAACTTCAATTTAATCATTTTTTTATTTTGTATTTTATTTTATATATATTTTATTTCTATTTACAAAATGTGTTCCTTGCCTGCAACACTACTGGGACAAAATCCCTCCATATTTTAGAAATGTTAGAAAAAAAAATCTAGATTATCTTTTCTAAACAAAATGATTAAAAATAATGGAATTGGGAGAGAACAGCTGCAGCCCCAAGAACTTTTTTTTTTAACAAAGAAAAGTCTTGAAAGAGGAATGAGTTGCAGACAATTCTGATTCCCAAGGGTGTTGCCATGTTGGTCTCCAAAATACCCCTCCTGTTTTACTAAGCAGCAACAGAATCCTGAACCAAGGGGTCCGATTCTTCTGGGTCAACCTTATGCTCAGCTGACCCAGGGTTGCTTAGTGCACATAGAAACCTTTAATCAGCCCTACTGGGACTGCTGTAGGTTTGTAACCCATCTCCCATCTTTTGTTTCCAGTTCAAAGTTGAGCAGTGGTTCAGGGACAGGAAGGAGCTCCAGACCAGGCAGGACCAGTGATCCACCCTGGTTCCTGTCTGGTTCTGACACACTGGGCAGACTGGCAGGCAACACCCTTGGGTAAGTTCTGGCAGGACATATGGTCCTGTGAAGGTTGGTGCTCGCAGAACGGCAGTGGGTTAAGGGTGTGTGTTCAGCTGCACAGCGAGTCAGGAGGGAGAATAGTGTCCCACTGATGACAACCTGTACAGAAAGAATCAGTTATTCTATTCACCATCCACCTCCTTTCCCAGTATTTGTTGGTTTTCCTCCTTATACTTTTGTTCTGCACAGCTTGCAGAGCGCAGATTTACCTTCTAAACACCCAACAAATATTCAGTCTAATGTGAGCAATAATACGCACCATTAGATTTGTTGTGCATAGCATAAATTTATCTTTTTTTCATCTAATTAAAGCTCTGTTTGTCTGATTTTTATAGCTGGATTAAAGATCTGCTTTAGTTTAGTTTCTCCTGTATCAGTTTTGCTCATCCAGACTTTGACTGGGACCTTGCTTTGCATTTGACAGGAGCCGCTGGAGTTCCGGGGTTAATGGAGGCAGTGGAGGAGGTGGAAGCGGAGGAGGAGCCGGAGGCGGCGGCGCAGGAGGCGGCAGCAGCGGCGGAGGAGGAGGAGGAAGCGGAGGCAGTGGTGGCGGAGGCGGGGGTACGTCTGGCAGGTCGTCAACGGCGGCTCGCGACTCCCGGCGCCAGACTAGAGTTATCCGAACAGGAAGGGACCGTGGCTCTGGGCTTCTGGGTAGCCAGCCACAACCAGTCATACCAGCATCTGTCATTCCAGAGGAGCTAATTACGCAGGTGCGTTCCTTTTCTTATAAACCATGTGTTTTTTTATGTTTATTTTTTCAAGCAAAGCAGTTTTAAGGACATTAAGTTCCTTTTCCACAGGCCCAGGTAGTCCTACAGGGGAAATCCAGGAGTGTTATCATCAGAGAACTCCAGAGGACTAACCTAGACGTCAACCTCGCTGTCAACAACCTGCTGAGCCGTGATGATGAAGATGGAGATGACGGCGATGACACGGCGAGCGAGTCCTACCTCCCAGGAGGTGGGTGCAGATGTTCTCTTTTACTGCTCAGCTTTTTTTTTTTTTAGCAAGAATTGTGGCAAACATGTTTTTTTTTCTGCTTAGTGGAATTAGGAAAATCAAAACAGTAGAAAACCTCAGATTTTACAGTCGGACCTGTTTTTGTTTTACAGAAGACTTGATGTCCCTGTTGGATGCGGACATCCACTCAGCTCATCCCAGCGTCATTATTGATGCCGACGCCATGTTCTCTGAGGACATCAGCTACTTTGGCTACCCGTCTTTTCGGCGCTCCTCTCTGTCACGGCTCGGATCTTCCAGAGGTAACTCAGCAGCTCACTAAGGGACTAAAGGAAGCTTCTCAGAAGGCTTTGGTGGCAGCGGTGGTGATGGATGATTTCTGTTTGGGGGTCTTCAAGTTAAAGCTTGTTCTTTGGTTTTATTCAATCTTTTAAAATCACTAAACAGAGATTTCTGAGTTGGGGGGGTCGTATGAAAAGATTTCCCTCACTGCTATATGTGGTTAGACCATTAATAGAAATGCATAAAAAAATGTAGATTTTGAAGTTTTTTATGTTTATTTGATGGTTAACAGTTGCTAAGCATCTATCAAGTCTGATCTTTTTCAGTTCAGGAAACACAGCATAGCTAGAAGTCGTTTGGTTGATTTTAGTTTTTTATAAGGAATTTAAACCCCTAAGAAAACAGTCTTCTATGACACGGTTCCTTCAGAGTGGAAGAAAGCCATTTAGCAGGATCTTTAAAGCCGATAACAGGAAGCCAGAGCGCTGATGTCCTGTTTTATCCTTTTAAAATGTAACGTCTATCAACAACCTTTAGACAACAGCTCATCATAAGGGTCTATAATCTATTAGAAATAAACACATGTTTACAAATATTAGGTTTACAGTTACTAATCCCTGATTTGGTCGATTTAAAATCTGTCTCGATTTAAAGCAGTACAAACCTGTATTTCAGTGACTGCTCTCCCACACGGGAGCTTGATGTCACCTCTCGTCGTAGTATTAAACGGCTGCCCGAGGCTAGAAGGCTATAAAGTGTGATGCTTGGTATTCTTCAGTCTTATTGCTCTTCTAGAGAAAGCTGGTTTGGATAAAATTGAAGTTGGCAGCTGGAGCTTTAAAGATGATCTAAAAAAACCTGAGGCTGTGAATTATTTTTTTATTAATTCCAATTGTTGAGTTGATCTATATGACAAATGTTTGGTGTTGTGTGCTGCATGGCTGTAGTAAATACTGTGAGCTCTCTGAGAAAGGCCCGCTAGGCCCGTCTGTCTGAACAGGGAACCTATTAGACAGTCTATTTAAACAAAACCAAACAAAACACTGTAAACTTCTTGCTTTCTTTCTTTCTCCCTCTCTCCTCACATTTTAACATGAGCATGCAGGGTGACTCACCCGACGTATATTTCAGATTCCCACTCAATCTTTATCATTGCAGCTGATTGATTTGATATCACTGATTCTTAGCATCATTTCTCTCTATTCTTAAAACTTTTTCGACGGGTCTTTCCCAGAGAGTGGCTTATTTCTATCCCACTGGTGTGACCTTATTGCATACCAGTTCTCCTTCTTCCCCTAGAGCGTGACTCAGAGCTGTTGCGCGAGCGCGAGTCTGTATTGAGGTTACGCGAGCGCCGGTGGCTCGACGGGGCTTCGTTCGACACGGAACGAGGTTCGACCAGCCGCGAGGGCGAGCCCAGCCTCGACAAGAAGAGCATCCCTGTCCAAAGCCCCGTGTCTCTGGGGGAGGAGCTGCAGTGGTGGCCCGACAAGGTAGGACCTGCATCCTCTTTCTTCCACTCAAACTCATCTGATTAAGTAGAGTCTGCCTTTATGATCTCGGTGTTATGTTTTTTTTTCTTACGATTTTTTTTGTCTTTTTTGTCCTTCATTTTGGTTATTTTTGAAAGTAGATAGAAAGGAAATAAGATTGAAGAAAAGGGTGATAAAGGCCAAGAGGTCGGGGTTCAAACCTGTGTCTAAAGCCTCTAAGTATGGTGGTGATTTAACTGCAGCATCACCAACGCGCCCCTCACTCTGTTTAAACAGATTTGTCTTTTCAAACTAATGTCAAGGAACATCCTAAATAGAGATGGACCGGTAATATATTTGTAATTTTTTTTTCTTGTATTAGTATCAGCCATGACTTCAGTTCCATTAATTGTGTTTTTTTTTTTTTTTTTTTTTTTTACTAAATGTTCCTTTTTTGCAAAGATAAGGCTTGTTTGATTTTTATGTCATGTCATTTTCATCATAGAGGAAAAAAGTCTATGCTGGCTTCATGGTACAGTCTGGTAACTGGTTACAGTCATTATTTAGAACAACGTTGTCCAAAAGGCCTAGATATAGAACCAAACCGGTGTTGGGTACTGTGTAACCTAATATTGTTACAATCATTCTATGTATTTCATTCCAGAACCAAGTAATTTTAGAACAAAGGCAGAAAATATGTGCATGGTTAACATTAGTAACCTGACTCCGCCAGATGGATTTGCTCCGCATATCCATCTGGAAACCTTCCGTTGAAGTAATTTTGGGAAGGGGCGAAAATACTGGTTAGCTGATTGGTCTATGTTGGTGATAGACGGGCCAAATAAACCAATCAGATCAACAAAGCATATGACGTACTAACAGAGCGACGACGAAGAGGAGCCAATTGATAGATCAAACTCTTGCCGAAACCAGTCGGGAGAAGAGCAAAAACATCTTTTCCTCTGAGAAAAGCCTCCAGAGCAGTGTTTTGCTCTTCTTTCAGTGAAGAAATACTGTGTAATTCCGATAAAACTTGCTTGATAGCCATGCTAACGCTAGTTTCATCGGCTGAAGCCGCAATGTTCTTTAGCCTGAACTGTCGTAGTTTGGGTCCTCCAAATATTCGACCAATCGTCTTCCGTTATCTGAATTCCCAATTCTTTTTTCCCATTTTGTTTTAATATGTAAAGTGTTACAGCCTCTATTTTCCAACAGATATTTATAAATTAAGGACACTGTTCTATATTTTTCCCCTTATAGGTCTCCATCAACATTTTGACAATTCTATTTTCCTACTGTGTTTTATCTCTTTATTTATAGAAGTCCCTTAATTGAAGATATCTAAAACGATCTTGAGTTCCAAGGGCAAATTCTTGTTGTAATTCCTGGGAACTTTTAAAGTACCCATCTTTAAGGACTACACACAAAGCTGTTAAACCTCTTTCTGTCCATTGTTTAAATCTTAAGTCCTGTGTAAAATATTTGTTGTAGGCTGGCCACTGAATCAAACTCAATTGTTCCTCTAGTTTACATTTCCGGATAATATGTAACCTTTTGCCTTGGGTAAAACTAGTAATAGCATTAACTTTTCAAGTGTTTTCTTAGTGATCTCTATATCTCCAATTATACTCCGCAGTTCTCTTCCATGGACTTTTTATTTGATATTTTTCCATTTCGCCTCGTAATTTATGTCACTTATATTTATTATGGGTGTTATTTGGGCAGTTGATCCATCAGTGCCATACCTCCTTTCTCTTTTGGTTACTGTAAGGTTTCTATTTTAATCAGGTTTTTTTTGCATTCCATATGAATCGGGATATAATAACTGTCCATCCGTGAGTTCTATAGGTAATGCCATGAAGAGGTATAATAACCTTGGTAATAGGTTTGTTTTAATGATTTCGATTCTCGAACTAAAATCTAGTGTTAGAGCGTCCCACCTTCTAATGTCCATTTTAATTTCTTGGTCCACTGTAATAAAGTTAGCAAATGTTTTTTTTAATTATTATATATTTTTTTTGTTATTCCTTGTATACCTGCAGATGTAATCATCCTCTGCCTAGTGGCACACTAATGGGTGAAGGTTAGGGATCATTGTAAACTAGGTATATCGGATGTAAATTGGATTTTAAAACCAAAATACAGCTTTAACCTCTACAAAATGTAAGTGCCCTTTCCACGCATTTATTATTTGATATATGTATATAGAAAGGGGAAGTTGTTGGTAGAGGAAACAGCCGCTGCTATGAGTCTCTATAGAGCTTTGAGCTCTAGGATCAGAATCACCATTGTTCTAATAGGTGGGGGCTATGGGTGTAAATAATAATCGTTTTGTATTGATGCATCGACACATCCTGCACGAGTACCGATTCATGTTTTTTTCCCCCCTTCAGTCTATTTGTATCCATTTGCTCCTGGATGTAATTCTGACTCCCGTGCTGCGGTGGCGCTAAACCTATTTTTCCCTCTTACCTCACTTCCTTTAGCCACTACCCTCTTTCTCGCGTAAACACAGAGGCATTATTATTTTTCAGTAAAAGAGGTTTTCAGAGGCATAGGTGGAGTACAACGTTGCAACTTCTGTTATTTGCCGTTTTTTCTCAAATAAAATACATAACGATATTACAGCTTTCATTGATTTATTTCAAATTTGAATCATTGTCAAGCCTGAAAGGTAAGAAAAAAAAAGATTAATTAATCGAATCAAATCGTATCGTAGTGTATTCTTCAGTATAGAAAATAGTCAAATCATTGGTTCAGGAAATTGATACTGAATGGAATCGCCATGATGGGTGTGATTTACACCCCTAGTGGCGGCCCTCTGAGGGTACAGCAGCATCACCTCTGTCAGCGAGCCCCAGGGCAGTTGAGGCTAAATTGTAGTTTGCCACCATCATTATGAATGAATGGCTGAATGTATTGGAAAGTGCTTTACATGTACGGGATTTTGACCATTTAATTTAAAGCCACCTCTTCCTTTTCTTCCAGGACGGAGTGAAGTTTGTGAGCATTGGAGCCTTGTTCTCAGAGCTGGTCGCCGTGAGTTCCAAAGGAGAGCTTTATCAGTGGAAATGGAGCGAGCCTGAACCATACAGGAACGCACAGGTGGAGAAGAACAGCTAATTTACTGAATAACATGAATCTAATAGGGGAGCGCGATTGATCAGCCCATCAATTGACCTCAGTTTCTTTAATTTTCAGCTTGTTTTTTTTATTATAAAAAAATGTTATGTAAACCTGATCTTATCTGCCTCTGCTGAGGTCAGAGAGTCGCCCTCTTTCAAATCTCTAAACTTTGATTTATGTTTGAGAGCAGTGATATATGAACAGGGTTTCCACAGGTCATTAGAAAAATCATTAAGTCGTTAAATTATTTTTTTTTTAAATTAAGGCCTTATTTGGCTGGATTTGTTCTCTTCATCCTCTGATATGGGAGCTGGCTCGGAGCTCGTCTGCCTGGCTGTGTGTTTCCTGGACAGGGCCGCCTTTTACAGTTTTATTTTATGTCTCTGCTTCTGTCTCCTTGAACCCCAGCCGGCCTCAGCAGATGGCCGCTCACACTAAGCCTGGTTCTTCACTAGATTTCTTCCTGTTAAAATTGAGTTTTTCCTCTCCACTGTCGCTACAAGCATGCTTAGTGTGAAGGATTGCATTCGGATCAAAGAGCTGATGCAATCAACTGGTTTTCCTTAGATAGAAAACTTTTAATCAATTAGACTGTATGATCTGGTGAACTGTAAAGTGCCTTGAGATGACATGATGTCAATTGGCACTATATAAATAAACGGCTTAAATTGAAATGAATTGGCATTAAAATTCATTACATGTGATTATGATGGCATTTAAAATGCTTTATTTGAAAAAAAAAAAAAGCTTATAAAACAATTTTGTCAGATATATTGGGATATTTATTTATTTGCGTGGAGCTGCTTCCAGTGGATCATAAAGTCTCATGGTAGGAAAAGAAGCTTGAGGCGGAGAAAAAACTAGAGAACAGGGAAAATGCCAATTTCAACAAAAGTGGCTGGAAAACGAGGAATTCGGGACATGGCTGCAGTCTGTTTACAGTAGAGATGATAAAGTAAAGATGCCGTGTTATTGTTATTTTTATATATATGTATATACACATACACACACAAATCATGGGTACTTGTTCATGGCAGTGAAATTTTTCCCAAGAGCATTAAATACATCAAATTAGAGTTAGTCATTCCTGTATGAACCCTGATGAAGTGTTAGTGTTTTATGGGTTCTGTTCAAAAGTATTTAGTAAGAGAAATTGGAAATGTTTAAGGTGTTTTATTATCTTATAACACCTCAAAGTGTCAGTTATGAGGAAAAAAATCAAAACGTGTCAGACTTTTTAAAGCTCAGTGATCGGCCAGAAACCTGCAGTCGCTGCGCCCCTGGAATCTATGTATATTTGTGCTGGATCCAAGCATCTTTTTAACTTGTCTTTTTCCCATCAGAATCCTTCCATTCATCACCCTCGCGTTTCCTTCCTGGGCTTGGCTAATGAGAAGATCACATTACTGTCTGCTAACAGCATCAGAGCCACTGTAGCAACAGAGAGCAACAAGGTAGACGTCTACGCTCCATATATTGAATCGGCCTCCTGATGAAGTGATAATGCTAAGAGAACGATAATTTGTTTAATAACCGGTTCTTTACCTGAATGTGTTTGGATAGGTGGCCACCTGGGTGGATGATACGCTAAGCACCGTGGCCTCTAAGCTGGAGCACAGCGCCCAGGCTTTCCCTGAGCTGCAGGGGGAACGCATGGTGTCGCTGCACTGCTGTGCACTTTACACATGTGCTCAGCTGGAGAACAGCCTCTACTGGTGGTGAGAAGACAGCAGCTTTGCTTTATTTATTCACTTTTATTTGTTTTTAAAACCAGGGTGCAATCGGGCTTCAGTCTGTAGCGTGCCAGTCTTCTAATCGGATGGTTGTAGGTTTGATACCAGTAGAAATTAGTAGTTCACTTGCAGAATTATTTTTCTTTTTCAACTTGTTCCCATTTTGTTGCAACCACAAACTGAAATGACTTTGGTCTTTCTGCAGGGGCGTTGTGCCTTTTAGTCAAAGAAAGAAGATGCTTGAGAAGGCAAGAGCTAAGAACAAAAAGCCAAAGTCTAGTGCTGGCATCTCCTCCATCCCCAACATCACTGTGGGAACACAGGTGGGTGAGCTTTTACATTTGCTCCAGCTTTTGTTTTCCTGGGTTACTCCTGGTGATTTAGAGAGCTGCATTGTACTGATGATCCAACGGTGTCCCTCTTTAGGTGTGTTTGAGGAATAACCCCCTCTACCATGCCGGTGCAGTGGCCTTTTCTGTCAGTGCCGGAATCCCTAAAGTGGGCGTCTTGTTGGAGTCTGTTTGGAACATGAACGACAGCTGCAGGTTCCAGCTGCGCTCGCCGGAGAGCCTGAAAAACTTGGAGAAGACTACAAAGACCCAGGAAATCAAGTCAGTCCTTTTTGTTTTGTTTTTTTAAATCATTCCACTGTTTATGATTAGTGAACTTTAGTTGTTGTGATTTTTAAAAGCCAGAACTAAAACATGTACCTCTTTTCTCACACCGTAGGATGGAAAGTAAGCCTGAGCTGGTGAAGACTGAGATGGGTCCTCCTCCATCCCCTGCATCCACCTGTAGTGATACCTCTTCCATTGCTAGCAGTGCCTCACTGCCCTACAGTATGTCGCCTCTCATGCTATCTAAACCCATAACTATTCCCTCTTTCAAAAATTCACAAGTCTCCCCTTTGCTTTCTCCCGGGCATACGCCCAATTTCTTCCTCACACTGTGCTATCATTAGTCCTTTGACTTCAGAGCAGATGGTGCACAGGATTTATCAGCAACTTTTCCTTTTTTTTTTTTTTGCTGCCTGTGTTCTTGTGAAGGAAATATGGCCAGCTCACAGTATATCTGCCTGCCCATTACTGAGTCTTATCATAAGGAGCATATGGAAAGCTGTAAACAGTGATGATTATTATTTTATTTATTTATTGTCCTCTGGGTTTTTATTTATAATCCAATTACATTTTGCATGTAAGGCTATAATTATGGTTTTAGTGCTTTTTATGCCTTGATTCCATGTTAGTTCTCATAGCCCAGACTGAAAACCTATGAACGTATTTGGCTATTGTAACGTCAAATTGTTACTGTATAACTACTTACTTTTGAAAACATTTTCAGAATGAAGAAAAAAAAAGCATGTTTGCATGTTTTCTAAACAAAAACAAGACTTTGTTGGGCTACTGTATAAAACCTGGAACTCAACACTATTCCTGACATTTTGAATTGAAAAAGCTTCCTGAATGGGAAGCGAAACGTCTTCAAACTTGGAAACAAAATCCAGTGGATTGTTTAAGTTTGGAAAGCAAACTATAGGTAAATTAGATCAGGCTCAGATTAGACATAAATGACCCTAATAGGAGCAGTAAATAAAAAAATATCGACATGCCTATATACTGGTAGCTGGCCCTGTAGGGAGTCGGAGGTTGAGGGGCTTGAGAATCCCCTCCCAGGTAACAGGAGGGAACAAGTAGGGGATGGAGGAGTGCTTGATCTGGCATCGCATCCAGTTACACAGATTTAAAACACACATTAAAGTATAGATTTCAAAATGTGCTTTGAAAAAATACTAAAAGTTCACCATGTGTGTTCTCAGAGCGCAGACGTTCAACCCCAGCTCCAAAAGAGGAAGAAAAAGTGAACGAAGAACAGTGGCCTCTCAGGGAGGTGGTCTTTGTGGAAGATGTTAAAAATGTTCCTGTTGGAAAGGTGGGTGTGTCTGAAAACTCAGGATTCATTAACTCCTCTATGGTTTGAAATTTAATAAGCGTTGTGTGATTGTTGGAGTCTGGACTTATGTCAGTGATCAAAACACGGAGAATCTGGAGAAACAATTACAAAAATCCGTATTATTGGTTTGTTTTGGGGAGTAGTAGGGCCTGACACTAGACTAGCTCTGAACCTCTAAATCAATCAAATATATATTTTTTTGTGTGAATCTTATAAAAGATGCTTTTAATAATTTAACATTTTTTAATAAAATAGCATTTTAAATAAAAAACATAATTTCTCTTTTTAAATGAATTACAAATGTGTACAATATATAAATAAATGTACGTGTCATTTTTATAAATATTTAAAATAAATAAATTGACGATTAAAATTGTCAATATATACAAATTTATATGTTAGTAAATACAGGTGCTGGTCATAAAATTAGAATATCATGAAAAAGTAAATTGATTTCAGTAATTCCATTTAAAAAGTGAAACTTGTATATTATATTCATACATTACATACAAACTCATATATTTCAGATGTTTATTTTGTTTAATTTTGATGATTACAAATGACAACAAATGAAAATCTCAAATTCATCATATCAGAAAATTAGAATATTGTGAAAAGGTTCAAAATTCAGCTAATTAACTCAAACCACCTGCAAAAGCCTTTAAATGGTCTTTCAGTCTAGTTCTATAGGCTACACAATCATGGGGAAGACTGCTGACTTGACAGTTGTCCAAAAGACGACCATCGACACCTTGCACATGGAGGGCAAGACACAAAAGGTCATCGCTAAAGAGGCTGGCTGTTCACAGAGCTCAGTGTCCAAGCACATTAATAGAGAGGCGAAGGGAAGGAAAAGATGTGGTCGAAAAAAGTGTACAAGCAAGAGAGATAACCGCACCCTGGAGAGGATTGTGAAACAAAACCCCTTCAAAAATGTGGGGGAGATTCACAAAGAGTGGACTGCAGCTGGAGTGAGTGCTTCAAGAACCACCACACACAGACGTATGAAAGACATGGCTTTCTGCTGTCGCATTCCTTGTGTCAAGCCACTCTTGAACCACAGACAGCGTCAGAAGCGTCTAAAGAGAAACAGGACTGGACTGCTGGTGAGTGGTCCAAAGTCATGTTCTCTGATGAAAGTAAATTTTGCATTTCCTTTGGAAATCAAGGTCCCAGAGTCTGGAGGAAAAGAAGAGAGGCACTTCATCCACGTTGCTTGAAGTCCAGTGTAAAGTTTCCACAGTCAGTGATGGTTTGGGGTGCCATGTCATCTGCTGGTGTTGGTCCATTGTGTTTTCTGAGGTCCAGGGTCAACGCAGCCACATACCAGGAAGTTTTAGAGCACTTCATGCTTCCTGCAGCTGACCAACTTTTTGGAGATGCAGATTTCATTTTCCAACAGGACTTGGCACCTGCACACAGTGCCAAAGCTACCAGTACCTGGTTGAAGGACCATGGTATCCCTGTTCTTAATTGGCCAGCAAACTCTCCTGACCTTAACCCCATAGAAAATCTATGGGGTATTGTGAAGAAGAAGATGCAATACACCAGACCCAACAATTCAGAAGAGCTAAAAGCCACTATTAGAGCAACCTGGGCTATCATAACACCTGAGCAGTGCCACAGACTGATCGACTCCATGCCACGCCGCATTGCTGCAGTAATACAGGCCAAAGGAGGCCCAACTAAATACTGAGTGCTGTACATGCTCATACTTTTCATGTTCATACTTTTCAGTTGGCCAACATTTCTATAAATCCTTTGTTTTTATTGGTCTTCAGTAATATTCTAATTTTCTGATATGATGAATTTGAGATTTTCATTTGTTGTCATTTGTAATCATCAAAATTAAACAAAACATCTGAAATATATGAGTTTGTATGTAATGTATGAATATAATATACAAGTTTCACTTTTTAAATGGAATTACTGAAATCAATCTACTTTTTCATGATATTCTAATTTTATGACCAGCACCTGTAGATAAAGCTTGAAAAAATGCATGCTTCGAAAATAAATGATTACATCCAAATTATTTATCTTGAAATATATGACTAAACAAATTACAAAACAGACTACAAAAATATATGTATTTAGGTTGATTTAATAGATTTCATATTGTTTTTTTTTTTAATGGATATTTATTAATAGTTTATTAATTAGGTTATTAATTGGTTTTGAAAAATCTCTTTATGGACTCCTGGATAACAGAAAAAAAGATGAGTATTTAATGCAACTATTTTAATGTTTTAAGTCTTTCTATGATTAATTTTAATATGAATCCACCCAGGTGTTGAAGGTGGACGGCGCCTACGTGGCTGTGAAGTTTCCTGGAACATCGAGTAGCATGACGAACCAAAGTGCTGCTCCTCCTCCGGACTCCGATCCGTCCTCACTGTTACAGGACTGTAGGCTCCTCAGAATAGATGAGCTGCAGGTATACGCTTCGTTTCTGCAGCATTGAACTCTCTGGCTTACAGGGATGTTCGTATTTAGCGGATTTACCTTCTCTGTCGACACTACAGGTGGTCAAAACTGGTGGGACTCCAAAAGTTCCCGATTGCTTCCAGCGAACTCCCAAGAAGCTCTGTATCCCAGAGAAGGCTGAAATTCTGGCTGTGAATGTTGACTCCAAAGGTGAGCCTCATCTGTTTATTTATTGAATTTATTTTGTCGAACTTCAAGAACCTCCAGCTGCCCCAAGTTATGGAGGCAAAAAATATCTGATAGTTATCTAGCCGTTAAACCAATAACTGATATGTTTCAATTTCCTTTGGACGCCATTTAAAAAAGAGACGTCCTCTCTAACATTTTTACATGCCCATACAATTGCTGCGTCTCCAAACTCGTCTAGGCTCCCAGCCCAAAACGTATCAACCCCATCAAGATGGAAAAAAACATCAGTGATTACTTATGAAAAAGAAACGATGCTGTTACAGAAGAATGGTACTGCAGCTCGCTCTGTAGCGGGATTGACCAATCTGCTCTTCTCAACCTTCACTCGGTTCAAAATGGGCAACATGAACACAACGCATCAATTTTCTGCTCCCTCCAGTCTGCCTGTCTTTTCCTTTTTGACATTGTTGTTTAAGATTTACATTTTAGTTTTTACATCTCTAAATAGAATGCCACCACATTATCCCAATAATATCCCAGATAGCTCCCAAGCAGGGCTTCATCTGCTGATTATTTTAGTTTAATTTATGAATTGCTCTAATATAAAATATATATATATATATATAAAATACTTGTTTATTTACATGCAATTGTATATTAAAAGTAATAAATTTTTTTATGAAATATAATTTTATATTTTATGTGTTTATGGTGTGTATTTAAAAAATGTAATGCTGGGCTTACACTATACGATTTTTGTTGCCCTTTTTTAGGGCGACTTTCCAGTCGTGCGAGAATTTTCCGATCGGGCCCACTTTCAGCCTGATCGTGCATTGTGTTGTGTACAGGGGGTAACGAGGGGTGATCAGCCTCTCACGACCACCTTCTGATCAGGAATTGTGACATCGGGATAAAATCAAACATGTTTGATATTCAGTCAGCCATTTGTGGGCAAATCGCTCAGTGGGCCATGCTTCTGTGTTTACATCTTCTTCCTCTCAAATGTAAACACAGAAGCATGGAGGGGGTGCGAGTGAATTGGAGTTCTTTCTGTAAAACTGACAGACCGTAGTAGCCACGTTTGCTCAGCCATGTCTTTGTCCAAATACGTTGTTGCCTTTTCTTTTTAGGACTTTCAGCACAGCATTGCACAAATTGCCAAGGCAGCCATTTTACTCTAGTGACGTTCATATTCCTCTTCTACTGGTTTGGCTTCCGGATAGACGAGTCCGAGTAGCGCCATCTCACTGCGGAGCAGTGGTTTTCAGACGTACAGTGTGAGCAGGTAGATAGCATCAGAGCGCCAGGTTGTACAGTGTCAGAACATACATTGTGAGGTGTGAACTCAAACTGTACGACGAAATCGACGCATGCTGTAGATACGTGCGTCGCTTAAAAAAAAAAAATCACACAGACTGTACCCGGATTTAATAACTGCTGTCAGTAGGTTATTATTAAGGTTCCCTCTCTCTGCTGGAACTTAAAACGATTTTAAACCTCTTCATAAAACAAAATTTATTTAACTTGCTTTTGACTAACAGGCGTTTGTGTTTTATGTTTTATCTTTATTTGCAGCTTTTACCTGTTTTTTTGATTATAAATGAGGAATATGATGAAAGATATGTCAATGCAGATAAATTAGGGCATCCCTTGAATAAATAACCAGTCAGTCACTCCATTTCTTTTGTTCTTGTTTAACTATTTGTAGATATGAATCTTTTTTTTTTTTTTTTCCCCTCTTCCAGGAGTCCATGCAGTTCTAAAGACCGGTAACTGGGTAAGGTACTGTATCTTTGACCTGGCCACAGGCAAAGCTGAGCAGGAGAATAACTTTCCTACAAGCAACCTGGCCTTTCTGGGGCAGAATGAGAGCAATGTGGCGATTTTTACTGCCGGGCAGGTAAGATGGCCTCCTGAACAGCTGCAGATTTTCTTCAGTGATATCTGAGCTGTACAGTAATCTGTCATTTCCTCCCCAGGAGTCTCCCATCATCCTTCGGGATGGGAATGGCACACTCTACCCTATGGCTAAAGACTGCATGGGTGGAATCCGGGATCCTGATTGGTTGGACCTGCCTCCCATAAACAGCCTGGGGATGGGGGTTCACTCTCTGGTCAATCTGCCGTCTAACTCCACCATTAAAAAGAAAGCTGCTATAATTATTATGGCTGTTGAGGTAAATATGCCCCTTTTAAAAAGATGGCACTTCTGATATTTAGTAGAACAAGGTTCTTTCTATAATTCAGAGACATTTACACACATCTTAAATGAACCTTGCAGAAACAGACGCTGATGCAGCATGTCCTGCGCTGCGACTACGAGGCTTGTCGGCAGTACCTGATGAACCTGGAGCAGGCCTTCCTTCTGGATCAGGGCAGCCAGAGCCTCGGAGCACTTCTGGGTCATCGATGTGACGGAAACCGTAACATCCTCCATGCTGCTGTTTCCGTCTGCTTCCCCGTTAGCAACAAAGAGACCAAAGAGGAGGAAGGTAAACCTTTGCCACTTTGATTCTAACGTGTATATATGTTAGCTTAGTCTTTTAATTAGCATTTTCATCAGACTATTTGATTGAGAAATTGCAAACTTTGACACTTTTAAATTAGAATGTCTGCTCACATTACATCCTTCTGATTTTTATTATTTTTAATAAAGTTTTTTGCTTTTCAGAAGCTGAAAGGTCAGAGCGAAACACGTTTGCAGAGCGTCTTTCTGCTGTAGAAGCAATCGCCAACGCCATTTCTGTGGTGTCCAGCAACAGCTCTGGAAACCGGACCGGCTCCTCCAGTAGCAGAGGGTCAGTTACCACATCGATGGAAGGAGTCCCTCCTCCCAAACCTTAAATATTTTGTAAAGATTATAGCGAAAACACAGAAATGCTGATTTTATGTGGGGTTTTGCCGATAGGCTTCGATTAAGGGAGATGATGCGGAGGTCTCTCAGAGCGGCCGGTCTGGGCCGCCATGAATCTGGTCCAACATCCAGTGACCATCAGGATCCTGTCTCCCCACCCATTGCCCCGCCCAGTTGGGTCCCAGACCCTCCACCAATGGACCCTGGTGAGTGCATAAAAAAAAAAAAAAAAAAAAAAAAAAAAAAAATCAGATGACATTGCGTTAAAGGTTGAACCAATCAATTAAGGCGGCTTCTTCTCTTCCACAGATGGTGACATTGATTTCATCCTAGCACCAGCAGTTGGTTCACTCACCACAGCATCCTCTGGTTCTAACCAGGGCCCCAGCACTTCCACCATACCAGGTTTGTTACTTCCTATATAAAAACAAGCAGACCTTTAAAGGAGAACTGGTGGTTAATGTTGATCAGGCTTCTTTTAAACTTTTAAACTCACTTTTAAATGCTTATGGAAACTCTTCCTTCATTTTCCAAGGGAGAGAATGCAGAGGTTTTCATTTTGATTTTTATAAATTTAAATGCCCCAGTTATTTCTCAAATCGCAAACAAATTTTAAAGATTTTACCAATGGTCCAACTTGTTTAGCTAATACATACCACATTTAAGAAGCTCTGGTTGAATGAGCTTGTCTAATTTGAGGGTGTTACTACCGTATTTTCACGACCATAAGGTGCGTACTAAAAGGCGCAGTCTCAGTTATGTGTCCCATTTCTGTATTTAACACACACATAAGGCGCACCGGACTATAGGGCGCATTTTTTATATACAGGTACATGTCCTCTACTACATTTAAATAGTTCTACTGCGTATTTTAAAAATACAGCGGGCCCAAAACTGAGTATGACTGTGCTTTATTCATGTATTTATTACAAAGTATTAATCAAACCTGCGTGCTGGCCGTGAGACAGACACATCGCAGATGACGCAGCGCTGTGATTACTCCTAAATTAACTTAAAATCCTGAAACCTGCCGACGGAATATGTTCGCTTTTGTTGCCGGTATCCTGGTGCCTGCACTGGAAATTATTTAGATGAAAAACACCTGCCAGCCGCCGTGTGAGGCTGCTGTTGAAGGGATTTCTGCTGTCGGTGCACCGCTGGTATGTGGGGGTCTGAGCGCCTCCGACAGAAATAGATAATCTGGATGAACTGACTGCAATTAAGTTTTCAGGTGGCCTTTCTCACTTAAAAACTTATTAAAACTACTTTATTCCCACTGATCACAGCAAATATAGCTGCAAGATTTAGATTATTTAGATGAAAAAACACCTGCCAGCCACCGCGGTGAAGAGGAGGAGACCCGCCCAGAGGCTGCTGTTGAAATAAGTTTTCAGGTAGAAAAATAGAGCGGGAGCAAAACTGAGTATGATTGTGCTTTATTCATGTATTTATTACAAAGTATTAATCGAACCCGTCAAAGTCATCCTCCTCTGTTTCTGAATTAAACAGCTGCGCTAAATCAGACATGCCAATTTCCCCTTCTTCGCTGTCAGTCACTTTCCGTGCAGCGCAGCTCCTCAGAAATAATGCCGGCTTTTGCGAAAGCTTGAACAACAGAGCCAGCAGACACGTTAGTCCAAGCATCTACAATCCATCCGCAAACGGTGGCGTAACTTGCCCGGCGCTGCCTTCCACTTATCCTGAAACTGTGGTCTCCGTCTGTCATCCATCGCTCCCACGCCGCTCGCAGCCTTACTTTGAACGGCCGCTTCACACCGATGTCGAGCGGTTGAAGTTCCTTTGTCAGACCCCCGGGATAACGGCGAGCACAGCGTTTATTTGATTCACCTTTTTTTCACATCGGCTGTCAGATGGGCACGCAGCGATGGTGATGCGTGGAAAGAAGCACCTGTTCTCCTCACATACAGCTCCCAGATCAGCTTCTCTGATTGGTTGATGCGGCGCGTCCAGCAGCAAAACTTCAATTTTTCCACCTCGAGCAGCAGCAGCGCGTTGGCGGTGCGTCAGATGCTTAAACGCTCCTGACGTGCTGCACCTGCAGCTCAAAACGCGCTGCGGGACCTTTTGCTGCACCTATACGCGCGTCAACCATTGACTTTGCATGTAAACTCGCTGCTTCTGCTGCACCTGCTGGGTCCGGTTCACACCGATGTCGAGCGGTTGAACAGCGAGCACAGCGTTAATTTGTTTCCCCATGTTTTTCACATCAGCTGTGAGATGGGCACGCATGGAGTTACATATTAACAGCGATGGTGATGAGTGGAAAAAAAAACACCTGGTCTCCTTACATTCAGCCACTGTTTCATCATCTCCTCAATGAGGTGGTCTCAAAAGTCGCAGTTACAACACACATAAGGCGCACCGCACCATAGGGCGCACCGCACATTTTGAGGGAAAAAAAAGATGTTTAAGTGCGCCTTATAGTCGTGAAAATACGGTAATAACTGGAAGGTACTAAAGATATTACATTGGCTGTGTCGAAATGTCCACCATAACCCCTAAATACCTCCATCACTAGAGAGAGTGGGGACTAGATAGTGGACTTTGTTGTTCAATTCAGTTCAGGTTATTTACAGGTGCTGGTCATAAAATTAGAATATCATGAAAAAGTAGATTGATTTCAGTAATTCCATTTAAAAAGTGAAACTTGTATATTATATTCATACATTACATACAAACTCATATATTTCAGATGTTTATTTTGTTTAATTTTGATGATTACAAATGACAACAAATGAAAATCTCAAATTCATCATATCAGAAAATTAGAATATTGTGAAAAGGTTCAAAATTGATGGCCCCTGGTGCCACACTCTAATCAGCTAATTAACTCAAACCACGTGCAAAAGCCTTTAAATGGTCTTTCAGTCTAGTTCTATAGGCTACACAATCATGGGGAAGACTGCTGACTTGACAGTTGTCCAAAAGACGACCATCGACACCTTGCACAAGGAGGGCAAGACACAAAAGGTCATCGCTAAAGAGGCTGGCTGTTCACAGAGCTCAGTGTCCAAGCACATTAATAGAGAGGCGAAGGGAAGGAAAAGATGTGGTCGAAAAAAGTGTACAAGCAAGAGAGATAACCGCACCCTGGAGAGGATTGTGAAACAAAACCCATTCAAAAATGTGGGGGAGATTCACAAAGAGTGGACTGCAGCTGGAGTGAGTGCTTCAAGAACCACCATACACAGACGTATGAAAGACATGGGTTTCTGCTGTCGCATTCCTTGTGTCAAGCCACTCTTGAACCACAGACAGCGTCAGAAGCGTCTAAAGAGAAACAGGACTGGACTGCTGGTGAGTGGTCCAAAGTCATGTTCTCTGATGAAAGTAAATTTTGCATTTCCTTTGGAAATCAAGGTCCCAGAGTCTGGAGGAAAAGAAGAGAGGCACTTCATCCACGTTGCTTGAAGTCCAGTGTAAAGTTTCCACAGTCAGTGATGGTTTGGGGTGCCATGTCATCTGCTGGTGTTGGTCCATTGTGTTTTCTGAGGTCCAGGGTCAACGCAGCCACATACCAGGAAGTTTTAGAGCACTTCATGCTTCCTGCAGCTGACCAACTTTTTGGAGATGCAGATTTCATTTTCCAACAGGACTTGGCACCTGCACACAGTGCCAAAGCTACCAGTACCTGGTTGAAGGACCATGGTATCCCTGTTCTTAATTGGCCAGCAAACTCTCCTGACCTTAACCCCATAGAAAATCTATGGGGTATTGTGAAGAAGAAGATGCAATACACCAGACCCAACAATTCAGAAGAGCTAAAAGCCACTATTAGAGCAACCTGGGCTATCATAACACCTGAGCAGTGCCACAGACTGATCGACTCCATGCCACGCCGCATTGCTGCAGTAATACAGGCCAAAGGAGGCCCAACTAAATACTGAGTGCTGTACATGCTCATACTTTTCATGTTCATACTTTTCAGTTGGCCAACATTTCTATAAATCCTTTGTTTTTATTGGTCTTCAGTAATATTCTAATTTTCTGATATGATGAATTTGAGATTTTCATTTGTTGTCATTTGTAATCATCAAAATTAAACAAAACATCTGAAATATATGAGTTTGTATGTAATGTATGAATATAATATACAAGTTTCACTTTTTAAATGGAATTACTGAAATCAATCTACTTTTTCATGATATTCTAATTTTATGACCAGCACCTGTATATAGCAACAATTCACAACACACGTCATCTCAAGGCACCTTAACCAGATCTTACCGTCAAATTTATTCTGTTTTCTATCTAAGAAAAACCAGTTGATTGGATCGACTCATTGATTTGAATGCAATCCCTAAGCAATCACTAAGCATGCTTGTAGCGACAGTGGAGAGGAAAAACTCCCTTTTAACAGGAAAAAGCCTTCAGCAGAACCAGGCTCAGTGTGAGCAGCCATCTGCTGAGGCCGACTGGGGTTCAAGGAGACAGAAGCAAACATAGAAAAAGAAACGGAGATACAAAAGGCAACTGCCAACAAACTCCACAGTGGCCCCATTCAGACAACACACAGCCAGGTAGACGAGCTGCGAGCCAGCTCAGAGGATGAAGAGAGCACATCCAGCCAGTCACAGTCAGAGAAACAGGACTACACTGGAAAACAGGCCGATCTCCAACATCTAGAAACAAAGGTGTTGATGGCAGCAGCACAGCTGATATTTCTCTCCAGGATGGAGTCTCAGCCAAACAGGAACAGACCAGATGAAGCTACTATGAGAAAAAGCAGAACGTTAGAGATTGAACTAACAGATTCTGCAGAGTGGGAGAATAGAGATAGAATGATAAAAAAGGGATCAGTTAACTCAGATAACTGACCCTTCGGACAGATGATTACCACTTTTTGCTCCCTGTTGGTCACTTAACTCCTCCCCTCACGGTGCTGCTCCATCTTATTTGACAGCGGGCCGCTGTGACAGCAAATCCCATAAAGCAGGCATCCCCAAACTCGGTCCTCAAGGCCCCCTGTCCTGCGGGTTTTAGAGGTTTCTTTGCTTCAGCACAGCTGGTTATAATGATTGCAGTAGACCAAAAGCCTGTTAATCAGCTTTCAATTAAAATCAGCTGTGCTGGAGCAAGGAAACCTCTAAAACCTGCAGGACAGGGGGCCTTGAGGACCGAGTTTGGGGATGCCTGCCATAATGTATTCTGGGATATATCTTCTCGTCTAGTGATCATGAATGATCACAACTTTTCAAGTTGCATTGTGGGAAAATTTGAGTACACTTTTTCATCCTTTAGACCAGGGGTGGGCAATTCCAGTTCCTGGGGGCCGGTATCCTGCAACTTTTAGATGTGCCTTTGGTTCAACACACCTGAATCAAGTAATCAGATAATTGGGAGGACTCTGCAGGAACCGACTGCATACTGAGGAGGTAACTCAGCCATTTGATTCAGGTGTGTTGGACCAAGGATGGATCTAAAAGTTGCAGGATACTGGCCCCCAGGAACTGGAATTGCCCACCCCTGCTTTAGACGTTCAGAGACTTATTTAAAATGGCGTAACCACTATATAGTGCCCTATATAGGAATTAGGGTGGATATTCGGACGCAGCGATTGTTTTAAAGCAGCATTTCAATCTTTGAATCGAGTCAAGCTGAAAAAGGTCAGTTTAGGCAACTAGACATGAAGTGTTCTAGAAGACATTCAGCCTCATGTCTTCTAGAACAGTTGCCTAAACTGAACATTTCAAGCTGGACCATGACCTGGACCACTGAGAATCTTCGCAGATATTTCAACTCTAGTATTAGCCTGATTTATTATTACTAAATGATTTTTCAGGTCAATGTTTAGTACACGCTGTCCTTCTCAAAAACTCTCCTATGCAACTTTAGAGGCTCAGATCTGTAAATGAATGAGTCATGTGACCTTGGGCGCCACTCTACTGCAGTCTGAGCTCCTCGTAAACATGAGAGCTAAGCCAAAAGTTGTTAGCCAACAAACCAGACCTGACTCTTACCTGATCAGACATATTTCTGGTTCTCTGATAAAGGATTTAATCCAGAGGTCTGAATGTGGCCCTGAATTTGCCAGGAACTTCATAACGTAGAGCTTAGAGCAGATTCTGATAAAAATAGATTGGTCATTTCATTTTGCAACAGTGCAGAGCTATTGGTTGCTTTTAAGAAAGCTAAACCAGGAAGTTGCAAACGCCCCTAGTGGGTAAAAGTTAGTGTTACTTTAATTAGCCTGGTCAGTCTGAAGTATTGAACGCTGAAATATGAGGATAAATGAGTTGAAAATGGGAAGTTTTTCCTACATAAGCAGCACGTTTAAACTCCTGTTCTGTCTTTCTACAGGGCCGTCAACCGAGACATCTGCAGTGGAGTCTAAGGACAGGAAGGCCAATGCTCACCTTATTCTAAAGCTGATGTGTGATAGTGTTGTTCTCAGGCCACACCTATGGGACCTCCTCTCTGCAAAGTAGGATTTTTTTTAACCCGTATAAAATCCATGGGGTGATAAATGATCTCCTTGACAGCTGTTTGTTTTCCTGTACTGGTCTGTCTGATGTTCTTACCTGTGTTACTGTGCCTGTTTGACAGGGATGCCAGAGGAATGACACCTTTCATGCTGGCTGTCAGCGGAAGAGCCTACCCTGCTGCCATTACTGTGCTGGAAGCAGCTCAGAAAATAGCCAAGAGTGAGTCAGTGATTTAATGTTTGTCATTTAAAAAGGAAAGATCTCATAGCGGTAGTAGTTCTCTGCATACTTGCCCAGGTGTGTGTGTGTTGTATTCATACCACAATAGCGAAAGCACATTGCCTTCCAGATATAACTGCTGCAGGAGTAAAAGCAGATTTTGTGTAATAGCGATGACATCACTATGATTTAATGTTAAGGGATTTTTATGGCAGTAATGGAAAATTTTTAGTCTGTATGTTGGGTGTATGTTCTTACTTCCTATCTTTTGCATTGAGCACAGTGGGTGACACAGGCATGGGGGAGAAAGAGGACGCAGATTCTATGTTCATGGAAATGATTTGCCCGTCTGGAACCAACCCAGATGATTCTCCACTCTATGTCCTCTGCTGCAATGACACCTGCAGTTTCACCTGGACTGGAGCTGAGCACATTAACCAGGTCAGCTGCTGCCAGTGGGTTACCAGGGAGCCACTTCCTGCTCCTGTTTGAACTGAACATTTGGCTTATTCAGAGTTTTGTGTTTTTAGGACATATTTGAGTGTCGAACTTGTGGCCTACTTGATTCGCTCTGCTGCTGCACCGAGTGTGCAAGGGTGTGCCACAAAGGACACGACTGCAAGTAAGTGTCTTTCATTTCAGCTTTGTTGGGACGTGAACATTTTTTTTTTTTTTTTGTTGCTCCTATCTTCATTGTGTGACTTCTTCTTTTTCCTCAGGTTGAAAAGGACTTCTCCTACAGCTTACTGTGATTGCTGGGAGAAATGCAAATGCAAAACACTAATAGCTGGCCAGAAGGCTGCTCGCCTTGATTTGCTTTACAGACTTCTAACAACAACAAACCTGGTCACTACACCAAACAGCAGGTCAGCCTCCTTTTTATTATGCTCTAGGTACAGATAGGGATGTAAACAAATAATTCAACTTAATATTTTAGTTAAATATAGTGAAAATGGCTAAACATACCTTTTGATACAAACCCTCAAAAACAGACAATGCATCTTAGCTTATAAACTAAAATAAAAGGAAATTTATGAGCATTTTTAAAATTGCAGCTTTTTCATACTAAGAATATTCGCAACATTCAGTGGAAACTTGGCTAATAAAGATAACTGTCAGGTGGACAGAAGGTCTTTTAGTTTTCAACAGTTAAGCTGGAAAATATCCAGATCCACTGGCCAGCTGAGTTCTTGGTACATCCTGTAGGATTAACAGGATTTAAAACCTACAAAGGACTCAGCTAGTTCTTAGTTAGCTGAACTGGCTAGCTTAAGTCAGGCTAAATATCTTTGCTGTATTTAGTGCTGTTGAAACCCATTCTTTAGTTCCATTTTGGGGTTTTTTTTGTTGATTTTTTCTTTTTCACCTCATTGCTCATATTGGATTCAAGATGTAGAAACCTTTCTGATTTTTCTTGCAGAGGCGAGCATATATTACTGTTCCTGGTTCAAACTGTTGCCAGGCAGAGTGTCGAGCACTGTCAGTACAGGCCACCGCGCATCAGAGAAGACAGGAACCGTAAAGCTCCAAATGCAGAAGGTAAATCTCCTCTTTACACGTCAAAACCGAGCTAGACATGGGCAAAAATGTCTTAAATTAAGTGTATTTACTATTAATTTGAGTAGGAAAATTAGATGATTTGCCAATGGAATGAGTCTTTTTACTCTTTAAATAAAATTAGTAGATAATATGCACTTGAAATAAGACAAGGCAATTGTTTTTTCTTATTTAAAATGTAAATTGTTTTGTTCCATTGGCAATGTGTCAGACTTACCTCCTCAATTCAAGAAAAGATTCGCTTATTGCAAGAAAAAAATAATGACATTTGGATTTCAATTTTTTGCAGTGTAAAGTTTCATTATCTGTTGACAGATCAGTGCTGACTGCTTTAACCTGTACTTGTTTTAGGATTATTTCTCTAAAGCAGACATTTTATTCTTCTTTTAGACTCTGATATGCCAGACCATGACCTGGAACCTCCCCGCTTTGCTCAGCTGGCTCTGGAGAGGGTCCTACAGGACTGGAATGCCCTCAAATCTATGATTATGTTCGGTTCTCAGGAAAACAAAGACCCGTATGTATTTGATCAGAGTTTCTAGAGAGAATCAGCCGGTTTGAAAAGGATTTGATTAGCAAAATACTGAAACATTGTTCATTAGATACGCCTGCAAACAAACTTTTATCTTTTTTCTTCTATAGGTTAGCAAAGTTCCTAAGCATGTTAAATGCTAATCTGATTACAAATGAAATGCAGATTAATTGTTTATGGATACAAGAGTGAATGAAGCATTAGATTGCAAATAGAATATGTTAATAGTTTGTTCATTTTTGATATTTCTGTTTTTATACAGTAAGCAAATAGGTTCCTATTTTTGTTAAATGAGTAAATTCAGCATTAGTTTATAAATTAAATAACTTCTGATAAGCTGAATAAAAGCTTTTTTGTTCTCTTGAAATATTCTCCTTCAGAAATCAAATGCATTTTCACCTTTTAATTCATTTAAGTGATTTTATTTTTCTATTCTCAGGTTAATTAATAAGACGATAGTTATACGATACCATTTTGATTGTTTTCTAAGTGTATTAAGCAACATATTCCAAATAAAAATGCCATAGCTTTAAATTCAGTCAAGTCTTTTACGTTGTTTTGGTTTAAGGTAATTGTGAAGAACAGATCATTGATTTTTTTGGTGTGTTTTAGTCTCAGTGCCAGCAGCAGAATCGCCCACCTCCTGCCTGAAGAACAGGTGTACTTGAACCAGCAGAGTGGCACCATCCGCCTCGACTGTTTCACCCACTGCCTCATTGTGAAGTGTGCTCCTGACATCACCGTAAGTTCCGTTAGTCTTGAAGTAAAAATCAAGCTGTCCTTTCTTCTTTCCTCTTCCCTTCTCTGTTAGATGCAGCCATCTCTATATCTGCCCTCTCTGTATCCCTGTTGTCTTGGGCTCCTTTAGATATTCTAGTCCCCACTTTGCTCTGTAGAGCGAGTCTGGGGCCTCTCACACCTGCTATTAAGCTTATTCTCCTTAAGAATCCCTGTAAACCCATTATACACATGCATGTAAACCACAACCATTTAGATCCAGGTGTCCATGAATACACAGGAATACCAAATACTAATCCGCTGCTATAGATGAATACCACTCTGAACACTATTATGTAATCATCATTGGTTTTGCTGATACTGAGTTGATGTCTATGGGATACTCGCTGTTCTTGTCACTAGTGTTTTTAGTTTTTTCCTTTTCGGTTTTCTTCCCCCCTTGTTTGATGCAGTTAAGAAAGCAGAATTCTAGGAGCTACAGCATTTTTTTTCTCTTTGCTCTATCTTTCTCTCTCTTCCCTTAATTCTTATCCCATCTTCCTTTATCATCTCTCTTTTCATCTCTGTGTCCATAGAATTGTACTCCCTAAACCTTTTCTGATAAATCTCCATATATAAATACCAAGCAGAAACCTTTTGGCAGCAACCACAGTTGTCTAGTGGTGAAAGCAAATCTGTTGGGTTATTATCTAGCAGCTCTGGAATATCAAATATTTATAGGTAAAGCAGGACGTTGGGTAGAAAAAAAATCAAGCTATCCTATACTTTTAAGTTTGTTTTGTTAAATGCAAAAGGTTAAATTTATTTATTTTCCAAATGTGCGTCTTCTAAACTGACCCCCCTCTTATTAGTTCATAGACACGCTACTGGGAACTCTGGTGAAGGAGCTGCAGAACAAGTATACACCGGGCAGGAGAGAGGAGGCGGTAGCTGTTACTAGAAGGTTTCTGCGCTCTGTTGCTCGGGTGTTTGTCATCCTCAGCGTAGAGATGGCTTCCTCGAAAAAGAAAAAGTAAGATTCAGTTTTGCTTTACCCAAAAGATCCCTAAGAAATGATTTTCCATCTTTCTGGCTACATTTTATGCACCAGTTAAACTGGAGTTTCTTCATTTTAATGTCTTCCCCACAGCAACTTCATCCCGCAGCCCATCGGGAAATGCCGGCGTGTTTTCCAGGCTCTGCTTCCCTATGCTGTGGAGGAGCTGTGCAACGTCGCAGAGTCGCTGATCGTCCCGGTGAGGATGGGGATAGCCAGGCCTACGGCTCCTTTTACTCTGGCCAGCACCAGCATAGATGCAGTACAGGGCAGCGAGGAGCTTTTCTCCGTGGAGCCGCTTCCTCCGAGACCTTCGCCGGACCAATCCAGCAGGTGGGCTAAAGGTCATGAAAATCTGGATGTATTATGTTTCATTGCTGTTTATTTCTGTGAACCTTCAAGGAGAGGATAATGCTGTGACTTTTTCTTATTGCTGCAACTTAGATCGTTTTATTTTTTTTATCTTTTCAGCTCCATCCAAACAGTTGCTTCTTATATCATTAGGAACCCTCAGCCCAGACGGAGCAGCCAGTCTCAGCCCGTCAGAGGAAGAGACGAGGAGCAGGATGACATCGTGTCAGCAGATGTAGAAGAGGTTTGTCGCTGTGTTTATTAACAAAGGAAACAAAATTAACAATTAACAAGGAGAAAAAAAAATCACTGCCTTTTTTCTTTACTTTTTGTTTCTTCCTGATGTGCTTGTGTTTATTTCTCACATGATCTGTGATTTGTTTCGTAGGTTGAAGTTGTGGAAGGAGTTGCTGGGGAGGAAGACCATCATGATGACCAGGAGGAGCAGGGTGAGGAAAATGCTGAAACTGAAGGTCAGCATGATGAGCATGATGAAGATGGTGAGTGAAGTGGTGTTTTTTTTTTTGTTTTTTTCTTTATAAATAAAATTGCATTGTTAAAACTAGTTTTTAATCCTTGGAGGGGGGTGAAAAGAAAATCTATGATGTCATCCCAGTAAGCTTTACAGGAAGCGTCACTTGGTCTTTTTCTCTGCTTCCAGGAAGCGACATGGAGCTGGACCTGCTGGCAGCCGCTGAGACGGAGAGCGACAGCGAAAGTAACCACAGCAATCAGGACAACGCCAGCGGCCGCAGGAGCGTCGTCACGGCAGCGACTGCCGGCTCTGAAGCAGGTTGATCAGCAGCTCTGTTTAAATATCTTACTTAACAACTAATAAAAGATTTAAATTTAAAAGAATAGGTTAGATTTTTGAGGCTTTGTTAAAAGTTTTAAGTAGATATTTCCTTCCTGCAGTAGATGACCTCTCAGCATAAATCCAGATGAGAGATATTACAGACGCTGAAGCTGAGGGCTAGGCTGAGAAGGCCCAAAAATCAAACAGGGCTGTTACCTTCATATAGCCCGGCATACACTGTATTTATCTTGCCTTTTTCGGGCAGATTCTTCAGTTGTGCGAGAACTTTTCGATCAGGCCGACTTTCGGCTCTTATTGAGGGTTTCCGCCCCGCTGCGATCCAGACCTCCTGCGCAAAGCAAAGCCTACAGCATCCGCTGTTCCTCCCGTCTTGCTCTGCTGAGACTTCCTCCGAGCTCAAGGAGAGCATGCGTGATATTATGATTAAATTCACGAGCAAAACATGTCAAAATGAAAGCTTAATTTAATATGACATATTAAAAAAAATCCCCACTATCATCCAGCCAGCATATGCTCAGTTTCTGCCCAAATACTTTTTGTTTTGTTGTGGATTTTTGTAACAGGGATAATTGGGATCATACAGGTTTTATATGAGCTATGTTTGTTCTCTGCTTCCAAACTCAGCATCTCTTCATCCATACCTGAATGAGAAGTTCCTTTTGAAGTTGTGAGAGGCGCTCTTGGGGATTTTGACTGGATTTGATGAAACTTTTAAGCCTCTTAGTAATATAAAATAAATATTTTGATCGAGATGAGAAATCTGCTTCCTGGTATGTTGAAGTACCAATAGTTTGCATCCAATCATTTAAACAAACGGTCTTAGTTTTTGGGAATATATAAGCTCACGAATCAGCCTGGAATGGCTTAAGAATGGCTTTGTCTCCATTCAAACCCAGGTTTAAAGCCGTGCAGGGCAGCATAAAGGCCACTGCCCTCATTAAGCCATAGAAAAGAAAAGAAAAAAAAAACAGTCAGTTCAGATGTTTTATAAAATATGAGTCAGGAAATTATCTATATACCAAACTGGACGCTTGTTCTCTACGTAAAAAAACACTTTAGATTTTAAAATGGAAAAAATTTCTATTTATTTATTTTTTTTAATATATTTTTTATTTAAAAATTCTATGTATAACATGGATGCATAAAAAACTAATTTTATTCCAGTGTTAAATTCTGTTTAACAGATTATAATTAAAAATGTCTCCGGACCTTTGCTGGTTGAAGATTTTCTTTATACGGACCCCGCTGATTTTTTTTCTTTGTTACCCCTGGCCTAGTGGGTGAAAAAGTAGTGGACTCGAAATTTCCTACAATGCAGCCTGAAAAGTAGTGATCATCCATGTCACTACACAAGCAGATATATCCCAGATTGAGATCTTTGCAAGCGCTCTTCGTAAAAAGCATCATGAGATGCTTGACCAAGTTACGTGACCAGCGGCGAGCGGAAAGTAGTGACCATCTGTTTGAACGGTCAGTTAACTGAGTCCGCTATAAAATCCACTATATAGTCCCTGCTCTATATAGGGATTTATATCTCACGGCCTTAGATCCATCTCTGCTTCACACACCTGACTCCAATATGCGCCCATTAGCACAGCTTTACTTGCTACTAGTGGAACCGTTTGGTTCTGGTGTGTTGGGACACATTTAAAAGTTTCAATCTGAAGCCATCATTTAAAAGCCCATTGAAAAAGTTCCAATAAACTTTTATTACAGTTTTGTGATTTGAATTGCAAATTAATAGAATAGAGTTAAACTTTGTCATAACACTGTCACAAGTACAGAACAACCAAATGAACCCTCTGCATTTAACCCATCCCCGTAGGGAGCAGTGGGGCTGCTGTTGTGCTGCGCCTGGTGATCAGTGTGGGGGTTAAGGGTCTTGCTCAGAGACCCAGATTGTCAGTCTGTGGGGGTGGGGCTTGAAATCCAAGCGCAATGCCCTGACCTAACCACTGGCTGCCACTCCCCAAAACTAAATGTGAAACTATTGAAGTGTCAATCGGTCTCTGGTAACTCTCTGGCTAGCCGTTAGCTTCGGCCATTAGCGCTGAACAGTAATCTGCTGCAGTTAAAATCTTCCTGTTGGAGCAGAGCTCCAGATTTCACAAACACAATCCATGAATATGTAATCAATTTTTTCTGATTATAGGAAAGCGTTTGTGTTTGTGGGGATTTATGTTTGGGACAGCTAATGATACAGCAGGAAAAAAAAAACATCCCTGGCTGAATACCCCATCTATTTCATTTGCAGGCAGTAGGGTCTCCTTGGCCTTTCCTATTTTTGGTATGAGCTCCTCTTTATTTCAATGCATACTCAGATTTCAGGGCAAGAGTGAGTTTGCAAACTGCATACACAGTTTTCCTCCGGGAGTTCCTTCAGTTTGATCCCTGTTTCATTCGTCACAACTATTGCCTCATGTTTGCTAATACTGTCTCTCATCACAAGTCCTGTCTAGCTGACCTTCCACCCAAATAACAAACTAATTATCTTTTTTTGTTTTTTAATGGTTTGTGGTGTTTGTTTTTTCCCACCCATCATGGTTACATTCAGTGTGTATATCTTCCTAATAGTGTTGCTCCTGGCAACGGTTTTTATTTTTGTTGTTTTTAGATTTTGAGATTGGCCCTGGTGTTTTAACTTTAAGTATAGTTTTAATGTGGGAAGAAAAAACCAAAACCACAATCAGTTTACCCCCGAATTTCATCAGCAGAAAGGTAAAGTATCTCACAAGATTGGGTATCCCTTTTCTACCATTAGACCCCGCTGAAGATATGATCCTTTGATCCAATATAAAGTTGTTGGTGTACAGATCATAAAACACCAAATCTAAACCACTGATTACAAAAGTAAGGAAGTCGATTTTCTCTGCCTGGTGTCATGTGACTCTGTGTTAACAGGTCTCAGGTGCTCTTGTACTCTGTAGGTGCAACATGCTGCCTCATGGTAAAGAAGGCCCTGAGGGAAAACCTGGTTTGCTCTAAATAAAGATGGCCAGAGGCTCATAAGCTCTTAAACAGCAGATAAAATAACTCCACATGGACCCAAGCTGTTAAATTATACAAACATTTGACCAGAGCTGTTCTAAGAACACAAACGGCATTAAAAAACATTCTTTTTGGTTTGTTTTTGTTTATATCTTTAAACACTATTATGCAATTCAATTATGCCTCATCATCATTTCTTTTATTTCATTAAATTTTTATCAAGAATCTGAAGACCCCATATTTGTAGATCCATGACCCCCAAATTTGGGAATGAATCTCTCAGGGAATAAAGATGCCAAGTCATGTTATATGGATATACGAGAAAGAGCTAAATTCCTTTGACAGACATGGCACCATCTGCCAGCAGCATCACGAAACAATCAGGAGGCCAGTTGATGGTTTATGGAGCTATTAATTTGAGCCTGACCGCCCTTTAATGCTTTGAGGTAAAATATTGACGGATATTAATTGAATAAAGTGATCTACAGCATCTCCAAGTTCTAGAACCTTCTGTCAGAACATCAAGTGAAAAGGAAAATCTTCACTGCAGAGACTTAAATAGCATTTCTATCACTAGTATCAATATTAAGACTATTACCCACATTCCAAAAAAAGGAAATTAAAAACAATCCACTGGACCTTTTTTCTAATTTTGAAGATTTTCCGCTTCCCAACCAGGAATTTTTTTTAAATTCAGAATGTCAGGAATAGCATTAAGTTTGTGGTTTTATACAGTAACCCATCAAAACCTTGTTTTTGTTTTGAAAACATGCAAATTGATACAGATGAACGTGTCCGCCCCTTTGGAATGGGGGTCGTTTGGCTTCTTTTCTTAGCCTGCAATGCCCCATACCCGTCTAAGTGTCTGAAAGGGGGTCGTTAAAGGGGATTGTTGGCCTCGCTGAATAAGGCCCCGTCCACACGAAGTCAAACCCTGGCCTAAGCGCACACATTTTTCACCAAACAAGCCTCTCATCCATACGAAGCCGGCGTTTCGGGGTCTGTAAACAATGTTTTTTTTTACTAAGCCTTCAGAGTGGGAAGATTTTGAAACGCCGTTTTCGCGTTTCCATCTTTAAGGTCTGACCGCATTTTTTTTTTTTTTTACACGCATGCGTCATAGCGTCGCCTCTAAACACGCATGCGCGACACATCACAACAACAATGGCGCCGTACTGTGTTGAATGGTTGCTGCTCATGCTACTCACCCTGCTGTCGGGCTTACAACAGAATCTTCTTCTTCTGGAATATCTCCAGGATCTTCTTCTTCTGGAATATCTACAGGAAGAACAGAGCAATATAGACGACATAGTTCATCACCTCAATTTGACTGAACCACGAAAATGGACCCGCAGGGCCATTTTCCGGTTTTCCGGTTTGGTTGTTGTATAAATATTACTGCGCATGCCCAACATTTCGTTGCCTGTTTTCTCCTATTTTTGCTTTGGCACCGCAGCGCCACTTACAGGCCTGGCATACATTTTGCAACGTTTTCATGCATTCGTGTGGTCGATCACATTTATTTTACGTCTCCGTCTTTACGACAAACGTTCTGGAAAATATTAGCGTTTCGTGTTCGTTTTGACTTCATGTGGACGGGGCCTAAGTGAGGTCCTTCGGTCTCATGTACAGTGACTGGAGCTGCGATGATGGCAAGAAGGGATCAACTCAATGGCCGCATTGTAGGTTTTTGAAAGCTGAAACCTGAGTCTACCCCCTCTGTTTAATGCTGGTTTTCCTTTCTTAACTTGATGCCCTACTGTATAAAACCTCGAACTCAACGCTATTCCTGACATTTTGAGTTAAAAAAGCTTCATAGAGGGGAAGCAAAATGTCTTCAAACTTGGAAACAAAATCCAGGGGATTGTTTTTAACTTTCTTTTTTTGGAATGACTGTGACCTGGATGACTGAGAATCTTCACCAGTACCTTTACCCACATCCATCAATTTAGCAGCTACACCCAAACACTCTGCTGCTTCAGTGACACCAATGTTTATACAGTATTCCCAGCACCCTTCCCGTCTTATCCATCTCCGAATTAAATATTTTTTTGGCATTTTTTTCACACTTGATCTTAGAATTTTTTTCATTGTTGCCTCTGTTCCATGGAAGACGCTAACTGACTTAGCCCCAATAGGCTACTTCCTTGTTTACCCCACATGTACTGCCCCTTACCTCCATTGTTATTATAAATGTGCACAAAGGGCTTCATGTTCTAACAAACTGAGCAAAAACAAAGATTTAAAACACAAAAGAATACACCAGTAAGACGTGGTAATAATTCTTAAAAAAAAATTTAGCAACCAGAGTGAGCTGTTGGCGTATGAATAAAAAACATGTCTAATAAATTGACTACACACCTTTAGGAAGATTGCCAAAACACAGGATCAGAGCTGCACTTCGGTGAGCAAGACCAAATATCGGTTAATCAGGAGAGCTTCCAGCAGGCGTCACAATGCTTGACTAAAGGGGTGGAGTCTATTTGCTCAGCCTGATATCAACAGGTTGCCTTTTAAACATAGACATGCGCTACAAAGAGAACATTTCCCTTGAATTTAGTGTTTTCTCCCTTATTTTGAAGAGGTTGGACCATTCCCAATGTACAGGGGTTTTGAAAATTTCAAGTAAAAAAAACTACTCCATTATCTTACTGGAAATGCATAATATTCAGTCCTCTTACTGTAAAGGGAAAATGTTAATTCCTTTGCATCTTGTTTTTGTATGAAAGGTGTACAGACTATTGTGAGATACTGTATCTGTTCTGACTTTCTGCTTTTTAATTTCTACTGTCATACGTGATGTTCTGCTTTGAAGTGGTGTGTTTCACTAATGTGCATTGCTGCCGACTTAAGACTGAGGTGAAAGCAAGATGCAGGGATTTCCTTCTGACCTCTTAGCTCATCTTCTTTCTCTTTCTCCCCGTCTTTCTTTCTGCTAAAGGTGCCAGCAGTGTCCCTGCCTTCTTTTCAGAGGACGACTCCCAATCCAACGACTCCAGTGACTCGGACAGCAGCAGCAGCCAGAGTGACGACGTCGAGCAGGAGACTTTCCTCTTGGACGAGCCGCTGGAGAGGACGACGAGCGCCTCGCACGCCAACACGGCAGCCCAGGCTCCTCGCTCCATGCAGTGGGCTGTTAGGAACACTCCAAGCCAAAGAGCCAGCGGAAGCGGCCCTTCAAGCTCCTCAACACCAGCTGGTCTGTAGACTGCTAAAAACCATTGGTTTTGCTTTTGGTTTTTTAAAGCCTTCATAAACAAAGGGAGTGTAAATTTGGTCATTGTTTTTCACACAGCGAGCTCAACCGGCTTGATTTACATCGACCCTACAAACCTGCGGCGCTCCAGCGCCATCAGCTCCAGCGCCGCAGCGGCCGCCGCAGCACTCGAAGCCAGCAACACCAGTAGCTACCTGACGTCAGCCAGCAGCCTGGCCCGAGCCTACAGCATCGTCATCAGGCAGATATCAGACCTGATGAGTCTGATTCCGAAGTATAATCACCTCGTCTACTCGCAGTATCCCGCTGCCGTCAAACTCTCCTACCAAGACGCAGTCAACCTGCAGGTAACATAAATGAGAACAGTTTATTTATAAAACCCTTTTCACAAAAAATAGAATGGGAACATAGAGGCTGAAAAGTCAAAGTAGAAAAATGAGAGCGAACTTAAAATCGTAGGGAAATAATATTTAAATCATATTTAAATATTTAAAATCTTCTGGCTTAAACATGTATATAAATGTACTATTTATCAGACGATATTGTCTCAAAATATCTGTGTTTTTTTTTCTTCGTTATCTTCTGCAGGCCAGTTATTTATACGTCAGCCTGAACACCTAAATTCGGCCAATCATATATCAACGGTCATCTGTCAATCACATTTTTTTTCGGTCATAGCATCTTGATTCATATGTCGCAGCTAATGTACGCAACGATTGAAATAAGAAATAAGAATCATTTCCTTTCCCATTGAGTTCCATCCCAGTGTTCACGGGGATGGACGTCTGTGTCTTCAGCAGGCGTAGAGCTAACAGAACTGGCAGCGTTGCGAGGCAAGGGCTCAAACATGTACGGCTGTGAGCCTTCTACACCAAACCAAGCTTCTGCCGCCCTGGCGTCCTCTTCCACAACATCTTCGTCCCCGCTTTCCTCCTCTAAATAAAAATGTATGACGGAGGAGACTCATCCACGACCTCCGACACTAAACTCTCCTCCTCTTGCATGTTTCCTCTGTCCATAGCGTTCCTTGACAGTGTCGTTTCTAAGTCACCAATTTAGTGCTACTTGGTCCCAATGGAATTTCCCATTGGGAACCTACTAGCACTAAGTTGCTAACTGGTTAGCAAGATGCTTCCGAGACACCGACCATAACCAAACTTGCTTGCGAACCTTCCACCACAACAATCCCGCCCCTCTTGATAATCGACCAATAACATTTGCTTTATTCACTAGTGTAAAGTCGTGCAACACTCGGGAGAATTCGGAAATGCAACGGCTGGAACAGCCGCTTCCCTACGACTTTAAGATGATGGCTATATAAACCGTTGCCAGAGTAGAACCATGAGGAAATCCTGTCGTCTGTTGTATTAGAATCCAGCAAATTAACCAAACTGAGGAAGAGGGTTCTGCCACAGCCTGGGAAGTTTTGGTAATGGGGCATTTTCACTTTAAAAAGGACCCATTACCAATGAGGTCTTCCTAGAACCTCACTTATGCTGGTCCATGTTTTAAACCGCCAGAGGTTATAATTGTGGTGGTTAGGAGTGTGGTGGGAAAAAACTTTTTTTGTTTGATATACCTTAATTTTAGGCTGCCCGATATAATATCGATTTGTTACTTCTTAGTATCGATTTTAAAAAACCAAACATTTTACCTAAAAAGATGAGGGAAAATGGACTATCTCTGCACCCCCACTCTGGCAGAAAGCGCTGTGGAGCCCTTTAGCTGTGCAGCGCAGCACCATATCTGTAGTTGAGGCAATCACAGTGGAAGATGTGGACCGACTCAAACCCCAAACAACATGGATACCAAAAAACTAAATGATCAATATCTTCTGATGAACATTTACAGCACTTGCATTTTTTGATTTATAAATATATTTTTAAATGGGAAAAATATTGCAATATATAGTGATATTGCAATATCGTAATAATATTGTATCGCTACCCAAGCACCGTGACACGTATCGTATCGCAACACCCATGCCAATTCTCGCCCCTAGTGGTGGTTCACTTCCTCTGATCTCCATCATAATCATTTGATTTAAGATGAGTTTGATTTTTTCTGTCAGAATTACGTTGAAGAGAAGCTGATCCCCACTTGGAACTGGATGGTTTCCATCATGGATTCCACCGAGGCTCAGCTGCGGTACGGCTCGGCTCTGTCGTCTGCCGGAGACCCCGGCCACCCCAGTCACCCTCTGCATGCCTCACAGAACTCCGCTCGCCGCGAACGCATGACCGCCCGGGAGGAGGCCAGCCTCCGTACTCTGGAAGGACGGAGGTAAAGTTTCCATTGGAAATGTTTGAGGACGGGTTGGTTCAGTTTAAATGGTTGCTGCTCCGAGGGCTGATTTGTCCTTTCTGCGTTTCAGGAGAGCAGCAACACTGCTGACCGCTCGTCAGGGCATGATGTCCGCCCGGGGAGACTTCCTGAACTACGCCTTGTCTCTTATGCGCTCGCACAATGACGAGCACTCTGATGTGCTTCCTGTTCTGGATGTTTGCTCGCTGAAACATGTGGCCTACGTGTTTCAGGCTCTGATTTACTGGATAAAGGCCATGAATCAGCAGACCACCTTGGACACTCCGCAGATGGACAGGAAAAGGTACATTTAGATTATAAGGAGGAATTTAGATGCTCTGTGACACAAAGTAAATTGCAAAAACCATCCAAAAATAAGTAAAAATTAAATTATGTTTACCCTTAATTTGAGTAGGTAAATAAGATTTGCTGGAATGAGTTTTTTTTACCCTTAAAATAAGATAGTTGTATAATATACGCTAAATAAATTATATAATTGTTTTTTGTTAATTTAAATTGAAGTTGTCTTGTTCCATTGGCAAAATGTCTCAGTTCAATCCAAGAAAAAATGCACTTATTTTAAGAGAAAAATAATTTCTTTAGATTTTAATTATTTTGCACACTATGATTCATTTCTAGGAATCGAGAGATTCTGGAGCTCGGTTTGGACAACGAGGATTCTGAGCATGAGAACGACGAGGACACCAATCAGAGTGAGAGGAAAACTTTACCTAAACCAGCCATTTACATTCAAAATGTCAAATTTTCTAAATTCTGTTAACATCTGTGTCTCTTTTAACGCAGGTTCGACTCTGCAGGACAAGGATGAGGATTCGGTTCCTACGGAAACGGGTCAGAATCACCCCTTCTTCCGCCGCTCTGACTCCATGACCTTCTTGGGATGCATCCCACCCAACCCCTTCGACGTCCCTCTAGCGGAGGCCATCCCTTTGGCCGACCAGCCCCACCTTCTGCAGGTCAGACTAAACCATGTGAAACACGAGCTCCTTTAATAGAATCTGAGCAGAACCGCTGATAGCAGCCTACAGCTGATAGATTGGGTAGATTAGTTTTTGGCTAAACGATGAATATTTGAGGGAGTATTTGTTAGTGGGAGACAGTGTTAATGCTGATTAGATAACTCCAGATTGAAGTGAATGAATGAAAACAAGCATGACGTTAAGAGTGGTTAATCTTGAGGAGAAAAACTACAAACAAAATGGCTTCAGATTAAATCCTAACTTGTGTGCCAGTGTTTTTATGCCGTTACTCCGATTATTAATTTGTCTTCCTAAGGATGGTTTAAGTAGAGGCTTAGAGCACCTCACAGGGTGTCCTCCACGGCTTTAACCTTCGTTTTGGTTCTCCACCAAACAGCCAAATGCAAGAAAGGAGGATCTCTTTGGGCGTCCCTCTCAGGGCTTGTACTCTTCGTCTTTCATGACAACCAAAGGCCTGGCTGAGACGAGCACGGATAGGAACTGCTTGGAGGTAAACCACGAGCTCCCCTCTACCCTGCCCCTGTCAGTCACACCTCTCTGCTTCTCTAGGCAGCCAGGCTCGCAGTGACGTTTCTTTGGATGACAGGATTTGCATGATAAACGGGAACGAAACTGTCCTTGTAAAGCTAATGTTTTCAATATCATTATAAGAGACCCACAGTACTTGGTAGATTATTCCAGTCTTTTGGATGGACCGTCTCTGCCTCTGATGCCAAAAGCTGGTCTAGATGTTATTGACTGAACTCCTGATGGTGAAAAGACAAGGTTACTGGGAGCATGAAATATGTAGGCTTAGAATATTAGTTTCAAAACCAGTCACAGATGATTTGCAGATCTCTCCTTCTGGGTTCTTACTGGTGTGCTCCCTTTATTTAATCTTAGTTCTCTAAATGGTACAGCCACCACAAGCACCTGGTAAAGGATGAGACGAGAGCTTCAGGTCCAAACTGTTTAATAGAGCTGAGAGTGGTCTACAAGAAATACAGAAAAAAAGAAACGTATGGAAACTATCATTTTCACTCACTATAAATAGCTATTGCTAATTTGTCCAGCAGGTGGTAGCAAGAGAACACAAATAAAACCACAAACCATATTATCATGATCTTAACTCTTTAAATTGCTATATATAATTAAGCTGCACAGATATACAAATCTTGCTGGTGTACTGACAAACGTACTTTTATTCATTTAGACTCTCCCAGTCTCTTGAAACACGACTCTAAACGGATTCTAACGATTACTTGGTCAACTTTCTGCTCATCTAGCTCTGAACACGTGCTCTTACTACAGCAACGGCTATTGGCAGCTTGAGATTACAATGAACCAATCACAGTAAACATTATTCAGACGGCTTCCTGAGCTCTTAAAGTGATACACACAGTTATTAATCCATTTTCAACACTTACCGTCTTTCCTGTCATCTGCTGGCATTTAGGCCAATTTTCCTTCTCTTCCAAGAAAAACTAAAGCAGCTGTTGATATGTTTGCTTTAATGTTTGAAGGGTAATGAAGCACCAAGCAACAGGCTCACTACCTAAACAAATAGTTTGCTACTTAACCAGCCTGAGTAAACTGTGACGGTCTCTCGCTATGAAGAGCATTCAGGAACATGTTTTTCAGCTTTAAAAAAAAAAAAAGCAATTAATTTAACAGTCTTTATTTCAGAGCTAAATAATTGCATCTATTTATTTTTTAACCATATTGTGGTTTTATGTTAATTTTCATTTACTGAGGTTTCATTATTTTCATGAGCTTGAAGGCTTCTTGTCCAGATTCCACTGTTGCAGGACTTTATTCTGACAGTCGTGTGGAAAAGTGTTTACCTCTATGATTAAAAAAAAGTGTAGGTTCTACTCTATAACTTCTACATTGTTCTATAAGAGTTGGTTGGTAGTAGATCTGCGTTCTAGCTCCAACTCTCTTCTTTTTTGTGCGGCAGAAAACCCTTTTAGTGAATTACCGCCACCTGAAGGGTTGGAGAGACATAGTTGGTGTCCTGCTCATGTTAAATGTGATTGTGATTCAGCAGCTCTGAGTTGTGAAAATTTTCTTTTGTTCAATTGTGACTATATTGTAAATGTAATTTATTGCACAACTCTGGTTTATTTTTTAGGTTTGTTTACGAATAAAAAAAAGTAACATTATTGATACAATGCTGTTGATATTTTAGTTTTTTTCCTGCAAAAATTACACTATAGCATCAAACTATAAATATATTGAATATCAGTGTTTATTCTGTCAATTATGTGTTTTTACTCAAGTTTTTCTTCTGATTTTAATCTCATTCAGCAGCCAATGCCTCTTAGGAACATCTTGTTTGAAGGACAGAAGGAGAAAACCTTTGGTGGAAGAAGCAATGCTAATATCCGAAATCAGATATTTGATAGCAATAGAGCAGAAAGCAAACTAATTTACCGTATTTTCACGACCATAGTGCGCACCGTACTAAAGGGCGCAGTCTCAGTTATGTGTGCCATTACTGTATTTAACACACACATAAGGCGCAGAGGATTATAGGGCGCGCGTTTTATATACAGGTACATGTCCTCTACTACGTTTAAATACCTCTACTGCGTATTTAAAAATAGAGCGGGAGCAAAGCTGAGTATGATTGTGCTTTATTCATGTATTTATTACAAAGTATTAATCAAACCTGGGAGCTGGCCGTGAGACAGACACATCGCAGATGACACAGAGCGCTGTGATCACTCCTCTGAAACAATTATTAAATTAACTTAAAATGCAGAAATCTGCCGGCAGAATATGTTAGCTTTTATTATCCTGGTGCCTGCAGTTTAGATTATTTAGATGAAAAACACCAACCAGCTGCTGTGGTGAACCGGGAGGAGGCGACCCGGCCAGAGGCTGCTGTTGAATGGGATTCCTACTCACTGCGCACTGCTGGTATGTGGGTGTCTGAGCGGCTCCGACAGAACTAATATTAGAAGGCTACTTTATTCCAACTGATCACAGCAAATATAGCTGCAAGGCAAAAAAAGGATAGAGTAGCTCCGCCCAACGAACTACAGGGCATGCTATAGGGTGCGCCGCACATTTTGAGGGAAAAAAAGGACGTTTATATGCGCCTTATAGTCGCGAAAATACGGTAGTTAATATTGTCAAGAAGTTCCTGAAGTGCCTCTGTTGAGACTGATTTACTTTTGTACAGTGAGGAAAATAAAGTGTTTGAACCCCCTACTATTGTGCAAGTTCTCCCACTTAGAAATCATGGAGGGGTCTGAAATTGTCATCATAGGTGCATGTCCATCGTGAGAGACAGAATATGAAAAGAAATCAAAAAATTATAATGTATGACTTTTAGCTATTTATCTGTATGATCCAACTGCAAATAATTATTTGAACACCTAAGAAAACCAATGTTAATATTCGGAAAAGCAGGCTTTGTTTCCTTTTACAGATGTCAAATGTTTCCTGTAGTTTTTCAGGAGGTTTGCACACAGTGCAGGAGGGATTTGGGGATTTATTTTCCTCACTGTATTTATATTATTTAAGTTTTTATAGTTTAAATGTGGTGTTAAACACAGCTGAACTTGTCATTATGATTTTCTTTCTCAATAAGGTTTTTGACGTTACTAAAGAACAGCTCTTTGTAAACCAGATCCTGCCAACTAAGATGTCGTACACCGCCAACCTAAAGAACGTCATGAGTATGGAAGGAGGCCAGCAGAGCTCTGAGAACCAGATCATGGGGGAGCAGGAGATGGAAACCTCCAAACCAGGCCCTTCACCACATGACCTGGCTGCCCAGCTGAAGAGCAGCCTGCTGGCTGAGATCGGCCTCACAGAGAGCGACGGTCCTCCTCTTCCATCCTTCAGGTAAACTTCCTTCATGAGCAAATCTAATTTAATTGTTTTCTTTTATGGGAAAAAAAACACTTCAGAATCTGTCTTTTCCTCTTTCAGACCTCAGTGCAGTTTTATGGGGATGATGATTTCACACGACATGCTGCTCGGCCGCTGGCGCCTCTCACTTGAGCTCTTTGGTCGTGTCTTCATGGAGGATGTAGGAGCTGAGCCTGGATCGGTACGTTCCATATTACTTCATACAACCAATTTAAAGGAACACTCATTTATTGAATTAATTGAATTAAAGTGGAGGTTTTCATGGCATTTTAAATTCTCTCCTCAGATTCTCACAGAGCTTGGCGGCTTCGAGGTCAAGGAATCCAAGTTCAGACGGGAGATGGAGAAGCTGAGAAACCTTCAGTCTCGAGACCTGGCCCTGGAGGTGGACCGTGACAGAGACCAGCTAATACAGCAGACCATGCGTCAGCTGAACGCCCACTTCGGCAGGCGGTGCACGACCACACCCATGGCTGTGCACCGAGTGAAGGTCACCTTCAAAGACGAGCCAGGAGAGGGCAGCGGCGTGGCTCGCAGCTTCTACACGGCCATCGCTCTGGCCCTGCTCTCCAACGATAAGCTGCCCAACCTGGACTGCGTTCAGAGTGTCAGCAAGGGCATGCAGGCCAGCAGTACGTGTCATCACGATTACAATTCAAGTATGACAATACATAGAAACTATTGCATATTATAGAACATGATCCTTCTTGGATAGATGGTGCTTCAGTTATGCTGAAAATACTTGATTGCAACATTATTTTTCATCCATGTTCCAACAAAAGTGTAAAACACTCATGTGTTTTGTTTTGTTGTCTGTCTGGCTGCCTTTGTCTCCTGCAGATCTGATGCAACGTTTGAGAAACAGAGACAGAGAAAGGGAGCGGAGAAGTGGAGGACTTCGAGCGGGATCTCGGAGAGACCGAGACAGGTAAACTTTACTTCCACTGATCAGCATCGGCTTCTCCGTCAGAAAGAAATGGAAATGAACCAATGTTGGTTTGTATCATCATATAGAGAACCTGTCTGTCTGTGAAAGGAGGCCAGCAGAGCCTTATTAATAAATAATTGTGTCATTCATTTATTTAAACCAGAAATAAGTACGTAATTGATTATACAGCCCTCAGTTAAATATATAGACTTAATTTCAAGAAGTGAAGGTAATTATTTCATTTTCCTGTGCTAGGAGACACCATGGATTCATTTAAAGTTGTAGGGAAATCATATTTAAATATCAAATCATTCTGGCTTAAACATGTATATAAATGTACTCTTTATCCGAGGATATTGTCCCAAAATTTAGAAAATTCCCCCCCCAAAAAAAAAAAAAAATCGTGTCTTAAAATCTGTGTTTTTTCCCCTTATCTTCTGCAGGCCAGTTAGTTATACGTCAGCCTGAACACCTAAACTCGACCAATCATATATCAACGGTCATCTGTCAATCTCATTTTTTCGGTCATAGCATCTTGATTCATATGTCGCAGCTAATATACGCAACAGTTGAAATAAGAATCATTTCCTTTCCCATTGAGTTCCGTCCCAGTGTTCACGGGGATGGACGTCTGTGTCTTCAGCAGGCGTAGAGCTAACAGAACTGGCAGCGAGGCAAGGGCTCAAACATGTACGGCTGTGAGCCTTCTACACCAAACCAAGCTTCTGCCGCCCTGGCGTCCTCTTCCACAACATCTTCGTCCCCGCTTTCCTCCTCTAAATAAAAAATGGATGATGGAGGAGACTCATCCACGACCTCCGACACTAAACTCTCCTCCTCTTGCATGTTTCCTCTGTCCATAGCGTTCCTTAACTTTTCGTTTCTAAGTCACCAATTTAGTGCACTTCCTCACTAGGGGTGGAACGGTTCACAAAATCCACGGTTCGGTTCGATTCACGGTTTCTGGTCACGGTTTTCGGTTCGGTTCGATACATGTTGATTGTTACACTGAAATCCCATAAAAATGTATGAAATTAATGAAAAAATCCCCCAAAAAATAATGGATTGTAATTATTTTAAATGATCCGCGTAAACCCTGGATCATTTCCGTATGTTTTGCTGCTTTGAATTTAATCATCTCGCGCATGCTCTCTACCATCTCCAAGGGACGGAGGCTGTAGGCTTTGCTTTGAGCAGCCGGTCTGGAGCGCAGCGGAGCGGAGCGCTGACGGAGTATGTGGGATTTCGGGGTTAGCATGACATGTTGGTCATGTTGCTGTTAGCATAAACAAAACGTGTGCTTGCACACTGTTGCACTTTTATCCACAACTTTCTTTCTGCCGTCATCGTAGGTCACTCTAAATGCAAAGTGGTCCCATACAGCAGACCTATAAAGTGCTGCTGGCGCGTCTTCCAACTCCTGTTCTTTCCCACTTGCCATACCCACACAATTCTCCACAACTGATTTTTTTCCCTGCTACACCGGCTAAGCTGCTTCGCTTCTTCTTCTTGTTTACTACTGGTTGTTGGCTTTGGTCGCAGTACCGCCACCTTCTGCTCTGGAGTGTAATCGCTTTGCCTATGAGAAAAAGGAGCAGCGCATGAACCGAACGAAACACACGCGAACCGAACCGGGACAGTCGAACCGAACGGTTCGGACAGTTTTCATAAATCGTCCCATCCCTATTCTTCACCACCTCAGCCGTATCTAGATCCATAGCTAGTTTATGATTGTCCCGCTTGCGTTGTGGCGTGGAATAACATAGCGCAGACCATGCTTCAATATTGGGCATAAATAAAAAAATATGTGTGACAAGCTCACTGCAGCACACACACACACAGGATAACCAGCCCTGAAGATCTAAAGATAAACGTCGTCACCTGGTCAGACCCTTTAATTCAGTGAAAAGGTGGAGTCAGATTTAAAAAAAGATGTTAGGTTCATGGAGGGGACTTTGCTGGGAGCTGCAGGGGAGTGGGCTGCCTTTCAGCTGTAATGCTACTGCTGCTTTGTCCTCTTTTTCTTCATTAAGATGCAACTGTTTCTTTGTTTCCTTCAACAGGGATTCTAGAAGGCAGCTCTCTATAGATACCAGGCCATTCAGGCCTTCCTCTGAGGGTAACCCCAGCGACGAGCCCGACCCTCTGCCTGCACACAGACAGGCTCTTGGAGAGCGCCTTTACCCACGAGTTCATGCAATGCAGCCGGTAATAAACCACCGACCTTATGGACTGAAGAGATTTTATACCTTTTGCACTCATTTCAGTGATTGATGGGATTTTTCTTCAACCACACTAATGTTAGTGATGCTTCTATCATCAGGCATTTGCCAGTAAAATCACGGGGATGTTGCTGGAGCTGTCTCCTGCTCAGCTGCTGCTGCTCCTGGCCAGCGAGGATTCCCTGCGAGCCAGGGTGGAGGAAGCCATGGAGCTTCTCATCGCACACGGAAGGTAAACCCACCTAACCGGTGGCGTGACGTGAAGCAGTGGGTCGCCCCTGACTGCAAACCCAAAGGAGATGTATGCTGCTTGGATTTTTAATAAATGGGTTCTTGTTTAGGGAAAATGGAGCAGACAGCATCCTGGATCTGGGTCTCCCTGAAGCTTCTGAAAAGGCACAGGTTGGTAATTTGTTTTCTTCTTTCTTTTTTTAAGATTTAAGTACCGTATTTTCACGACTATAAGGCGCACTTAAACGTCCTTTTTTCCCCCTCAAAATGTGCGGTTCGCCCTATGTGTGTTGTAACTGCGACTTTTGAGACCACCTCATTGAGGAGATGATGAAAGAGTGGCTGAATGTAAGGAGACCAGGTGTTTTTTTTCCACTCATCACCATCGCTGTTAATCTGTGACTCCATGCGTGCCCATCTCACAGCTGATGTGAAAAACATGGGGAAACAAATTAACCCTGTGCTCGCTGTTCAGCCGCTCGACATCGGTGTGAACCGGACCCAGTAGGTGCAGCAGAAGCAGCGAGTTTACATGCAAAGTCAATGGTTGACGCGCGTATAGGTGCAGCAAAGGGTCCCGCAGCGCGTTTTGAGCAGCAGGAGCGTTTAAGCATCTGCCAACGTGCTGCTGCTGCTCGAGATGGAAAAATTGAAGTTTTGCTGCTGGACGCGCCGCATCAACCAATCAGAGAAGCTGATCTGGGAGCTGACAGCGAGACAGACACAGCACTCTGATGACATATGATATTAACGCAAATGAAACGGGCTGGGGAGATGATGAAAGGCAGGTGTATGTGAGGAGACCAGGTGCTTTTTTCCACGCATCACCATCGCTGCGTGCCCATCTCACAGCCGATGTGAAAAAAAAAGGTGAATCAAATAAACGCTGTGCTCGCCGTTATCCCGGGGGGTCTGACAAAGGAACTTCAACCGCTCGACATCGGTGTGAACCGGCCGTTCAAAGTAAGGCTGCGAGCGGCGTGGGAGCGATGGATGACAGACGGAGAGCACAGTTTCAGGATAAGTGGAAGGCAGCGCCAGGCAAGTTACGCCACCGTTTGCGGATGGATTGTAGATGCTTGGACTAACGTGTCTGCTGGCTCTGTTGTTCAAGCTTTCGCAAAAGCCGGCATTATTTCTGAGGAGCTGCGCTGCACGGAAAGTGACTCTGACAGCGAAGAAGGGGAAACTGGCATGTCTGATTTAGCGCAGCTGTTTTATTCAGAAACAGAGGATGATGACTTTAATGGGTTTGATTAATACTTTGTAATAAATACATGAATAAAGCACAATCATACTCAGTTTTGCTCCCGCTCTATTTTTCTACCTGAAAACTTAATTCAACAGCAGCCTCTGGGCGGGTCTCCTCCTCTTCACCGCGGCGGCTGGCAGGTGTTTTTTCATCTAAATAATCTAAATCTTGCAGCTATATTTGCTGTGATCAGTGGGAATAAAGTAGTTTTAATAAGTTTTTAAGTGAGAAAGGCACCTGAAAACTTCATAATTGCAGTCAGTTCATCCAGATTATCTATTTCTGTCGGAGGCGCTCAGACCCCCACATACCAGCGGTGCGCTGACAGCAGAAATCTCTTCATCAGCAGCCTCTAGGCCGGGCAGCCTCCGGGTTCACCGTGGCTGCTGGCAGGTGTTTTTCATCTAAATAATTTAAACTGCAGGCACCAGGATACCGGTAATAAAAGCGAACAAATTCTGTCGGCAGGTTTCAGGATTTTAAGTTAATTTAGGAGTGATCACAGCGGTGTCATCTGCGATGTGTCTGTCTCATGGCCAGCTCCCAGGTTTGATTAATACTTTGTAATAAATACATGAATAAAGCTCAGTCATACTCAGTTTTGGGCCCGCTGTATTTTTAAATACGCAGTAGAGGTATTTAAAGGTAGTAGAGGACATGTACCTGTATATAAAAAACGCGCCCTATAGTCCGGTGCGCCTTATGTGAGTGTTAAATACAGAAATGGGACACATAACTGAGAGTGCGCCTTTTAGTACGGTGCGCCTTATGGTCGTGAAAATACGGTATTTTAGGTGAAAAAAACCAATATTTTTTCATTAACTTGGTGTTTCTTCCTTTGCTTTGTAATTTTGTTATGTGGTAACAGCAGCAGGATAACCGTAAGCGGCATGGTTCAACACGCAGCGTCGTCGACATGGAGTTGGACGACCCAGACGACGGCGATGACAACGCTCCTCTTTTCTACCAACCCGGCAAGCGAGGCTTCTACTCCCCTCGACCGGGTAAAAACACAGAAGCCAGGCTGAACTGTTTCAGGAATATCGGGAGGTGAGAAAAAGGAAACAATCCAACTAGCATTACTGCAGAGGTATTACTTTATTATAAAAGTTTAAAATGAGCCACGGCTTTAATTTCTCTGCAGAATATTGGGGCTCTGCTTGCTGCAGAACGAACTCTGTCCGATCACACTGACGAGACACGTCATCAAAGTGTTGCTTGGCAGAAAGGTAAAACGTATTTTTGTTATGTGTTTGCAGCTGATGCAAATCGGCTTCTTCAAACAAGGTTCTCTGTTTCTGCAGGTGAACTGGCATGACTTTGCCTTCTTTGACCCGGTCATGTACGAGAGCTTGAGGCAGCTGATCCGCCACTCGCAGACGGGTGAAGCAGACGCCGTGTTTGCCGCCATGGATCTGGCCTTCGCTATTGACCTGTGCAAGGAGGAAGGAGCTGGACAGGTATCAGACTCTGCTGCTGCTCTTTCTAGGGTTTAATACTCATGTTTTATTGGAACAACAGAGACAAAAGAATTTAAGGATGTCATTTCCAAGAAACGGCTGGATGTTTCAGGATTTCTGTGTTTACTACTTTTATCTCTAACAGCACTCTTAGGATATTTATGGATGTTTTTTTTCCCCAATAAATGTTTTTATTTAAGTCAGAGGTAAAACAATACATCGTCATCATGGTTACAAAATAGTTTTTGCTTTTCAGCTCTTTCTCTATACTATCAAATAAAAAGGATTTATTTAATTTCCCTGTTAAATCTGGCTGACCTGAATAAAGTCTGATGAATACGTGTGTCGGGTAGCTGCAAAAATCAATCACAATTCAGTCTAAATATGTATTATCAGTTTGAAATATTCTGCTTTCTGTAAAAACAGAAAATGGTTGACATTTAACCCATGAATTAAATTTTCAATCATTTAAAAAAAAATGTTTTTTTTTTTCTGTGTTGTCCAGGTCGAGCTTCTGTCTGGTGGCGTCAACATGCCAGTGACTCCGCACAACGTCTACGAGTATGTGAGGAAATACGCGGAGCACCGGATGCTGGTGGTGGCTGAGCAGCCTCTCCATGTAAGCCCAACACCAAAGCTACCTTTGAAATCCATGTTTTGGTTGGACGGCTAATTAACATTGTTCAATTTACCAAAATCTTAACTTGAGTTTGTTTTTGTTTTCCTTCTGAAGGCGATGAGAAAAGGCTTGCTGGATGTTCTTCCTAAAAACGCCCTGGAGGACCTGACGGCCGAAGACTTCAGGCTGCTGGTTAACGGCTGTGGAGAAGTCAACGTTCAGATGCTGATCAGCTTCACTTCTTTCAACGATGAATCAGGTCTATTTCTCAAAGCGCTGCATAGTAAACCTGATTCCCGTTGGATTACCTACTTTTACATTTTCTTTTCTATTTCATCCTCTAGGGGAAAACGCAGATAAACTTCTCCAGTTTAAACGATGGTTTTGGTCCATAGTAGAAAAGATGAGCATGACCGAGAGGCAGGATCTGGTAAGTTCTTCGTTTTCTAAATGAAACATGATTAGAAGCTTTAATGTGCTCAACCAGGGAGGGTGACAAGTGCCACAATACAATAAGTAAATCATTATTATTTATTCATTATAATCATTAAGTCATTAAATTATTATTTTTTTCCAAATTAAGGCCTTAATTGGCATTAAAATTCATCAAATGTGATTACCATGGCATTTATAATGCTTTATTTAAAAAATTTTAAAAAAACAATTTCGTCAGATATATTATACCGCAATATATTTGCGCGGAAATTGGACTTAATAATGTACTTATTCAGGGTTTATACAGGAATGATTATTATTAAAAATAAATCTATAATTAATTAAATGGGTCTCAGTTAAATATATAGAATTTATTTTAAGAAATGATGATTATTTCATGTTGCTGCACACCATGGATTAATTTAAAATGTCACATATGCATTAAAGCAGGGGTCTTTAACGTTTTCCAGGCCAAGGACCCTCAAACTGATGGTGAGATGGAGCAGGGACCCCTTAATTATGTATATTGCATGAAATTGTGGTACATCAAACTGGTCCTATAGTCACTCTGTTACAGATGGAGTAATGTAACGAAAGTAATTTGGCCCTGGGATTATTAAAGTATTTCTGATTCCTGGTTGATGGGACAGGTGTTGTGAATGAAACGGTGCCCAGCTTGAAAGAGCTCCTGTGTGTCGCTGAATGTGAGCATTGATGAATGAAAGACATCTTCTGCCTCCATTTATCTGTTTACTACAGTCTGTTGAATTCATGTTAATATCTATTTAAAGACATTTCAATTAGTGGAAAAAATTGCAGGGGGAATATATAAAAAAAGTCTAATCAACCAAAACTTTTGCGACCCCCATGCAGTACCTCTGTGGACCCCCTAGGGGTCGCGGACCACCTGTTGAAGACCTCTGCATTAAAGGCAAAGTGGTGGGACTAGATCCTTCGTTATAGAAACGTCTGATTGTCTGTTTCTTACTAAGCAAAATAAAACGAATACTTCCTGGTTTTCACACTAATGTCAACACTTGAAAAGTTGTAAATACATTTCTAAAATGTGTTGCCAATTATTAACAGCAGATAGGATGAGCGATTCCAGCCTCTATATACATAATTAGGTCTCAAATGTTAATGAGGGATTGAGAGCTGCCATCAGTCAGTGACTAACTGTGATTCTGCTGAAGTTTGTGACCACACCACGCTCTCCTATAAGTTTATTAGATAGATTTCAGACCAAAGTAGGGTTATAGAGACTAGATTTGCTGTAAATAATTTGCAGCATAGTTTTAAGTTATTTCTGCTTTAGCTAGTGATAACATTGACTTGAGAAGAAAAAAAAAGGACAAAGTTCTTTTCTTGCTCAGTTAGAAGCAGCAAATCAGACATCCGGGTTTCTGTTCGTCGCTCTAGTCCCGCCTACTTGACTTTTTATGGATCTGTTCAAATTAATGCATGGTGTGGTTCAGTGCAGGAACATGAATTTATTAAATCATTAAATAATTTATTTACTTTTACTTTCTTTTTAGCAGATGGCCGCTCACACTGAGCCTGGTTCTGCTGGAGGTTTCTTCCTGTTAAAAGGGAGTTTTTCCTCTCCACTGTCGCTACAAGCATGCTTAGTGTGAGAGATTGCCTTCCAGCCAATGAATCAATGCAATCAGCTGGTTTTCCTTAGATAAAAAATGTTGAATCAATTTCACTGTATGATCTGGTGAATAGTAAGGGCCTTGAGATGACATGTTGTGAATTGCCGCTATAGAAATAAACTGAATTCAATTGTGTATTTTTTCCTCTTTTAATGCATAAAAAATGATTTCATAAGGTATTTATTTATTGAATTGTGGTACTTTGCCTTTTTCTGATGTGTTAGGGATTCGATGGGAGCTTTACATTTTCTTTGCTGAGATACTAAATGATAATTTTCTCTTTTATTTGAAAAACTTAATGAAATGATTGAAATTTCTTTATCTCTATGGGCAGTGTTCTGCCTGAACGCGTTCATTGAACGAAAGTTCATGAACTCGTTCATATTTTGGGCGAACGTGAACTGAACGTACTGCATTATTGCCTGATGAACGTTATTGTGAACTCGTTCATTCTGGTGTCTGTGAACGGCACGCTCTCTCAGTTCAGCTCCGTTCAATAGGTTGCCAGATTTCTATAGAGCCCTCCAGGCGAAACCCCGGCTAAATCACACTGTAAACAGGCCTTAATATGTAGCGGGAAAAACACCCAATCTGGCAACACCAGCTACCAGTGTCGTAGCCTACAGCCGTGTGCGTCATCAAAACAAAATGCAGCGTGGAAGCAACAATAGCGTGGAGGCGACTTAAAACAGGTTTATGACCAGGTGGTTGGTGAGGATGATGGCAACAAGTTTGCCCGCCGGCTTTCAGTAAAAAAATCCGCACTTCAGTAACCTTAAATTCCTACCTCAGCCTGGTCCCTCAGTTTGTGTTTGTAAAATCTTCTTGAGCGGAGGTCTTCAACAGGGGATCCGCGACCCCTAGGGGGTCTACGGAGGTACTGCATGAGGGTCTGCATGGTTAGTTGATATTTTTATAGTCCCCCCTGCATTTTTTTCCCCCACTAATTGAAATGTCTTTAAATACTCATTAAGATGAAATCAACACACTGTAGTAAACAGATAAATGGAGGCAGAAGATGTCTTTCAGTCATCAATGCACACATTCAGCGACACACAGGAGCTCTTTCAAGCTGGGCACCGTTTCCTTCACAACAACCAGGAATCAGAATCAGAAAAACTTTTAATAATCCCAGGGAGAAATTAATTTCTTTACATTACTCCATCTGTAATAGAGTGACTATAGGACACAATTTCATACAATATATATAGTTAGGGGGTCCCCGCTCCATCTCGCCATCAGTTTGGGGGTCCTTGGTCTGGAAAACATAGAAGACCCCTGTTCTTGAGGGTTTTACTATCCATGTAACTTGTTTGTTAAACCTGCCTGGTATAATTTTCCAGGATTCCAGTATTCCTTTTTAGTATGTATTGAAATGGAATTTCAAATGGAAAAAATTATTAAAATAAAACAAAAAACATTTGCACCTTAAAGACTACTTTCCTATTTTTCTTTTAATAATTACTCATAAAAAAGACCATTCAAGCAGCACATTTTTCCTGATGTTTTTGAGAATATACTGAATGGACAGCAACAAAGCGTTAAAGCAACAATGGGGAAATGCTGTCCCCTCAATGCTAATGTAAACCCTGGTTGGATAAGGATTCAAAACTGGATATGAAGATGAAATCTGACGCACAGTTTCAGAGTTACAACTGATAAAATAATTGCCGTCTGTGGTTCTACAGTAGGCTATGGTGTAATTGAGCAATATATGAAAAAAAAAGAACTATGAACTAGTTCGTTTTTTGGAATTGTGAACTATGAACTGAACTAGTTCATTTTAAAATGTGTGAACTGAACTTTGAACTAGTTCACGTAGAAAGAGAACTTTCCCAACACTGTCTATGGGGATAAAGACGATAAGGAGCTCATAGTTGGACCAATTTGCTTAAATATATTTCTGTAGCATGAGGAAGCCCTGCAGAAAGCAGCAGATTTAGATGAGATCATTGCATCCATCTCAGCTGCTTTGATAGCCCTGGAGCTGGGTCAAGCTGGCCTTTTCCCATTTTTAGTGTTGTTTGATCTTTGCAGTGGATTTTTCACTGATACATAATTTTACCTTATTTGGGGAAAAAAGCAAAGAAAAAAGAAAATACACTTGACACACAATATGTCTACCACAAAGACTCTCGGTTCACAAGCAATATCCAAAGTCCACATTAACATAAGCTTAACTATTGTTATCCTAAAGTCTGAAAATCAGTCTGATTTATTAACTTATTTGTTGATCCTCAGGTGTACTTCTGGACGTCCAGCCCCTCTCTGCCTGCCAGCGAAGAGGGCTTCCAGCCAATGCCCTCCATCACCATCAGGCCTCCAGATGACCAGCACCTCCCCACAGCCAATACCTGCATCTCGCGTCTCTACGTGCCACTCTACTCCTCAAAACAGATCCTTAAACAGAAACTCCTGCTAGCCATTAAGACCAAGAACTTTGGTTTTGTGTAGAGTTTCAAGTTAAAGTGTTGGAATAAAAAGGAAGGTTTACTGTTTAATATTTACCTAGTTCCATTTTTGTAGATTCATTTTTTTGTCCAGTTTTAAGAGATGAACATATGGTCTCTGTCTCCCCATGAGTTAATATTTGTTTGTGTTGTGAACACAAACTGCATCTTTTTATTTTGATTTTTATAGTTTTCTGTTTTTCTTTTGTGGTAATGAAGAGGTCCATAACATTCCTGCAATGGCATTGTAAAATGTAAAGCCCACCGCTCTGTTCTATTGGCTTAAACCTCTGCTTCCCATGAACTGGGTTTGCCAGGAAGCTGTCAGCCGAAGATCCTAGCCAAAGATGACAGCAGTAGACTTATTATTAAAAGACAAACATACGCACTGTGGTTACCATTATTTTTTCCTTCCCTGTGAAAGTACTATCTCTGACAGATCACTGCTGCCTTTGAGGAAAGTTTTTTTTTCTTGTACAGGGGGAGTAGGGAATTTCAAAATAAACTTGGATGTAAATAAGTTGTCTTGTTTTTGTTTTGTTTCACAACTTAAACTCTGCTTTCAGATAATCTTTTCCTGATTTAATCACCCTATGTAATTTAATTTAATTCTGACTTACATTTTTTTTTGTATGTCACAAGATTATATATTTTTAATATATCCTCTCAAAACCTACCCGTTATAAGTGTTTAAAAGTAATAAATCATAATGCATGAAAATTCCACCGGTAAAATGTTAACCAATATAGACATGTTAGACATCTTTGGAAAGCTTAGATTCTCCACAAATCAACCATCAAGTTCATTTTATGGACATAGTGAGCACCAAAGCACAATTAAAGATATAGCAGCATGTCAAAATGTAAACATGACAAAGGAGCCATAACAAGTAATGATGTCTTTATTACGCTGTTCAAAAAAGACCTATTATTTTCGAGAATAAAAAAACAACTTTGAGTGATGTTTCAACTGATGCATCTTGGGTTGTTTTACTCACCCAAATTCCATGTAGATATTCAGAAACTAGAAAGTGTTTGCTTTCAAATTATATATCATACATGTAATTTGGGCTTACTAAGTTATTTGCTTTTCCATTTGGGAATGCAAAATAGGCGAGAATTTCCCAAAATATATGAACATACCTTAAGAAAAAACTAAAAATTCCAGGCTTCGGCCAATCAGGTGGTTTCAGAGTCCCTTTCAAGGGCTGTTAGGGCGGTTTCTTTAACTATCTGGTTAGGCGATCAAAACATTTTAAGAAACAAGAAATATTTTGATTCAACCACAATTAACAGTAGATTTACGTTCTCACCCACGTAAATCTAAGACTTGTCTCTTTTAAAGCTTTAAAAAATAATTATAATGAAACCATCAGACACGTCATTAATCCGTATTGGGGGAGCGGTATCCGACTGCTAGGAACTTTAACTGGATGAATGTTAAATTTCCATACCGCCTTGAACGTCACATTTTTCCTCCATTCATAACGGAGCCATATGAGGTGAACTCGCTGCACGCGCGGTCACATTAGAAATATTGGGCTGCCCAGATTAACGCTACACCATCTAATAATGATAACCGTTGGTTAACCAGCTAGTTAGCTCATAGTTTGTCCTATCACTCTGTTGGAGGATCGGTGCGTCAGCATTGTACCTATCTTTACCGATGCGACTGAACGATGGTTTCATTGTTCGCCATAATGTCGGGGCCGTTCCGTTATTTTTAGCTAGCATCGCCTGCTAGCTGAACGCGTGCAGCGTGAAAAATCCGTCCGTATTGTGAATTAAAGAGGGATGGAGCAGTGGCAGGACGCGGCCTCTCAGCAGCTCCGGTTGCTCACCGGTCGCCTGAACGGACTGCTGACCAAAGGCCTGCAGTGGCTCCATTCCGAATTCGGTGTGGATCTGGGGCTGAAGCCTGAGCTAATTCCGCCATGGATAATCCTCCTTGCGGCGTGCAGCGGGCTGCTGCTGATCATCGCCCTGTGGGCCTCGCTCTGTCGGACTATATTCAGGAAGCGCCCCGCTTCCAGTACTCTGGACGATGGTGTTGAAGGAAAACCTGGAGCCAACAAGCCGCTAAAGGCAGAAGAACCGAAGAAAAAGAAGAAGAAGGCGGAAAAGGTCAGTAAATGGTGGTAAACCCGCGGTGTTAGCAAGGCTAGTTTGACAGGCTAACACCGCTGTGACAGTTGGCTAACACTGTGGCTAGCCTCTAGCTGGGGGGGTAGGCTATATATATATATATATATGCGTGTGTTATGAGTATTATCGACTGGATGTCAATTCATAGTTTTTAACGGTTTTATTTTCATCCTTATGCTTTGGATATATTCTTAGAAAGCCCAGCCGAATGGAAGAGCGGTGGCTGAAGCACAGGAAGGAGCCACAGTGTGTGAGGAGAGAGTGCCACATCAGCAGCCACCCCCACCACCAAAGACTGACAAGATTGCAGAGGTAAATCTGGATAGGAGGATTTCTTCTTCAGAGATTAAATCTTATAGCTTTATATCTATAGCTCTGGAAATCCCAGAGGGATAGCTGGCAGAAATATGCTTTTATCTGAATGAGGTGCAGTTCATTGATTTATGAACCATTTTAGAGATTCTAACCTTAGACTATTCTACGCTCTTCAGAATAAAATCTTTGACATAGTGTCTCATTTCTTTGTTCTTTTATAACAGGGCTCAAACAATTAATTGGATGAATCGATTATTGAAATAATCAGTTCAATTCAGTTTATTTCTATATCGCCAATTCGCAACACATTTCATCTCAAGGCACTTCAGTGTTCACCAGATCATCCAGTCAAATTAATTCAAAGTTTTCTATCTAAGGAAAACCAGTTGATTGCATCGACTCATTTACTCAATGGCAATCCCTCACACTAAGCATGCTTGTAGCGACAGTGGAGAGGAAAAACTCCCTTTTAACAGGAAGATACCTTCAGGGGAACCAGGCTTAGTGTGAGCGGCCATCTGCTGAGGCCGACTGGGGTTCAAGGAGATACAGAGATATAGAAAGCAGCTGTAAAAGGCTACCCCGTCCAGGAAACACACAGCCAGGTGGACGAGCTCTGAGCCAATTCCCATGTCGGAGGATAAAGGAGAGCACATCCAGCCAGTCACAGTCAGAGAAACGGGACTACACTGAAAAACAGGCTGATCTCGAACATCTATGAACAAAGGTGTTGATGGCAGCAGCACAGCTGATATTTCTCTCCAGGATGGAGTCACATCCAAACAGGAAAAGACGAGGCAAGGCTACTATGAGGAAAAAGCAGAGAGAGCAGAACGAGATTGAACTAACAGATTCTGCAGAATGCGAGAATAGTGATAGAATGAGGAAAAAGGGGTCCCTATGTCCTCCAGCAGTCTAAGCCTATAGCAGCATAACTACAGAGATCACTCAGGATAACCTGAGCCACTCTAACTATAAGCTTTATGAAAAAATAACTTTTAAGCCTAGCCTTAAAAGTAGACAGGGTGTCTGCCTCACGGACTAAAACTGGTAGTTGGTTCCACAGGAGAGGAGCCTGATAACTAAAAGATCTGCCTCCCATTCTACTTTTAGAAATTCTAGGAACCGCTAGTAAACCTGCAGATCAAGAGTGAAGGGCTCTGTTAGGAACATAAGGAACTAATTAATTCAACAACTTATTTAGTAATTGATTAATCATTAACTAGATTATAGAGACTAAAACATGCCTTTAACTGACAGAGTGATCCACTTAGCGCAGTGATTATACCAAAATTATATATAAAAAAAAAAAAAAAATGTTTATATATATATATATATATATATATATATATATATATATATATATATATATATATATATATATATATATATATATATAAACATGTAGCATTTAAGTTAAAAACTACATTTTTTTTTCTGTGAATCCGCTCTATTCAGAACTGGTTTAATTTAAAAACACTTAAAGGAACATTTGGCTATCCGATTATTATAGATTATAGATTATTCTAAAAAATAAGCAACAGTTTAATCCATTTGCTAAATAATCGTTGCAGCCCTACTTTATACCAAACAGTACAGTTTATCCAATATTGCACATTTACAGACGAAGAAGTCCAAAAAGAAGGCCAAAGCACCCGTAAAGGAGAGCAAGGCAGCGACTGGAGATGGGAAAGAACCGGAAGAAGGTAAGAAGAATGTAATTATAAAAAAAAAAAAAAAAATTCTTCTGTAATATTTGGGTTGGCCGTGCTTTTTTAAATTCAGCTCCCCCTGCCCCTAAATGGAGCAGTCGTAAATGGTCCTTTAACACTAAGCAGTGTGTGTTTCAGGCACATGGGAGACCAAGGTTAGCAACAAGGAGAAACGTGAGCAGCGCAAGAAAGATAAGAACTCCAGCGATGGCTCAGCAAGTCCTAGAGGAGGGGAGACACCTGTGAACGCTCCCCCCGATCAACCCAAGGTCTCCGCAGCGCCACCTGCCCCTGCCAACCAAAAGAAGAAAAAAGGTTTGTTATTACAGAAGGATTTTAAGTTTCCTTAACAAACCCCTTAGAGCTGGTGAGGATAATACTGTTTTTTTTTCTTATGTCCCCCTGGTCTGTTGTTAATGAGCTGCACTAAAAATATAAGCACAACGGGAATTCTATCTTCCCCTGAGGGATGTTTACCCTGTTTAAAAGCAGCCTCCTGTGGACGGTTCTCATAGCATTCGCTAACCTTTCTTTTTTATCTTCTCAGGAGAATCTGCGAAAGTGAAGGCAGAGAAGGCGGACGCCGTCGCCTCTCAGGGTAATTACTGTCACTCATGTCCTGCTTTGCCTCATTGATTCAGCCCTCAGCGATAGCAGTGGGAGCACAGTTTGACGTAGATCATGTGTTTAGTTGCTTGAGTGGTCTGTTTTATTTGTTTGCGATGCTCCCCCCCCCCTTCATCTTAGCCAACAGCGTCGTGGCTGCTGAGGTGGCGGCCGCTGCAACTGATATGGCGGTCAAGGCTGCACCACAGAATGCGGCTCCAAAGACGAGCTCCTGGAGCTCCCAGAGGCAGCCGGGTTCACTCTGGAGAGCAGGTGTTGATGGTAAAAAGGTTTCCTTTCTATTCTTTGGTATGAATGTCTTGTTGGATGATAACAATTAAACTAAGACCTGCAATTAAAAATGTTTGAAAAAATAGTTTTTTCTTTAAATCCCTCTTAAACCACAAAATAGACGATTTATTTCAAAATATCTGCTGGACCAATAAATACAAAATTGATGTTTTTTTTTTTTATATCTAAATGTTTCCTATACATCTCCTTACGTCTAAATAAAAATGTTACCTTAGAAGGAACTCAGTGGGTGAATTTGACGTTTCTCAATTCACAAGAACGCGAGTACAGACTCATGTCCTCGCCAAGTATGTTCATGAGAAGAACACAGGAAAGTCCTGACTCTGGGAGAACGGGAGCACGCAGCATAGATATGGGTGGAGCTGCATTTCACCTCCTGTTATTAATAGTCTGTAGATAATAATAAATTTTTACTTTTTTCATTCATTGGG